TAAGACACACCTCAATTGGCAGAGATAGACAATTATAACTTTGCAACATACAGATTTATTGGATGAAAGAACAAGAATAATTTGGGGCTTCTGTGGCAGCTAGAAAGTGTTAGGAGAACATTTTTAAAAGGGAGATCTAGAGGGAGGAATCCCAAGTTGCACATAAAATTTCTGAAGTACACGTTTGAGATAGATGACAAGCAGCCCAATTAGGGCTAATGGGACTGATCACAGATATTAGTTCCTGCAAAATGCAGGGGAGAATTTGGGATTTGAGTTTAACCAGGTTAGTCTGCTGAAAAAAATAAACAAACAATAATATTCTTCAGAAAGATAGAATCCAGAGTCTCTACATCTCATTGACAATTCCCCTGAGGGTATTTTAGAGGGAATCTAAAATTATTCAACATATGAGAAAAGTAGAGGACCCATATTCAACAGAAAAGACAATCAATGGAGACCAACTCTGAAATAATCCAGATGTTGAATTTAGTAAACAAGAACTTCACAACAGCTGTTGTATCTGGCATGAAAGATGTAGAAGAAAATACACCTATAATAATCACCAAATAAGACATATCAGAAATCAAATACAAATAATTTTTGTTTTTAATTGAAATACTAAAACTGTAAGCTACAATCAAATCAAAAAAGAAATCCAGGGTTGGCTCATGAGAAATTCAGAATCATAAAAGAAAGACTAACTGAAATTTAAAGTAGATTAATAGATATTATCCAATATAAAAATAATTAACCAGTCCTCAAAAATCTGTAAAATATATCTAAGTAACAACATAGGCTTAAACCATAGACCAACTACTATAATACAACAATAATAAAATATATAGTAGCTGACTGAAATGAGAAACAGAAGGTAAAAATTAAATGTTCATTTTAATACATGCAGAAAAGTATCACTCAAAATCCAATACCTGGTCATCATAATAAGTTAGGAATATCAATCTCATAAAGAAAATGAGAAAGAGCCTACAGTTAACATCATATATAATGGACAAGTATTGAATATATTCTGTGTTTAACTGGGAACATTTCAAAAAACATATCAACATTCATTCCTTATATTCATCATCGAACTGTAGACCCTAGCATAAGAAATGAGGCAAGAAAAATAAGAAAAACAAATAAAAACACAAATACTGGAACAGTTGAAATAAAACAGTCTTTATTTATGGATAATATAAAAGTTTATGTAGAATATAAAAACAAACCCACAGGAACAAACTAAAATTAATGTGTGAATTAAACAAAGTTATAGTACTTAAAACCAATATTGAAAGGCAATTATAATTTATAAACTAGCAATTAAACTAGAAAATTAGATTTATACATTCCTATGAAATAATGCCCCAAAACAAACTACCCTGAGAAGATAAACAACACCTCACTTTCTACCCCAGGGTGACTAGATGTGTCACCTGGTCTGTGAGGGCTCATAGCATTAGGGGGCTTTGTGGAGTTGCTATACGTATGATACAAAAAACAGACCTGTAATTGGACATTATGGAAAAACTAGGAGTCAGGATCAATAGATTGCCCATCACAAATCTTGGACAAAACAGATGATCCTTGGAATTTAATATAATTAAATACGTATCATGTGTCTCTAGCCCAATAGGGTTCTCAGGTGCCCATGATTTAGAAACTTCTGATCGTCAATTTATGACAGCTCTAGACACCACTGCCAGCTCATTTCCCATGGATGACCCTGCAAGATGAAACAGGCTTATTCCCTGAAATTTTATTGAACCATCCACCTTAAAAATTGTATTTTGAACAAATATCTCCAAATTAATGGCCTAGAAGAATCCTAAGGGCCCAGAATCTTAAGTGGCCAAGTATCTGCAACTCAGGTGTTCAGAGGTGAAAGGGAAAAAGCCTATTCCTGATATTTACATCACAAGAAAACCCACACTTGATGCCCAATGAATGTTTCACTTGGAGTCCAAGATCTCTTCTCAAGACTTTTTCTGAGAAGTAAGGTAAATGGCCTTCAGCTGGGTCAATGGATGCTGTCTTATTTATTTATATTTGAAGATGTCTTAGTGTGATAAACTTTTCCTTTCTACTTGATAACTCAGGTCTTTTTTCAGTAAGTTGTTTCACATTTTGGACTAGAAGCCTGGACATTGCAGGGAACACAACCCGTGAATATCCTTGGAGAGACACCTGTTGTGTAATTCCACAGCATACAGGTTTCTCTTAATGAGTTATGGCTTCAGTCATTGTGGCAATAGGGTGACAGGAAAGCAGAGGTCAAAGGGACTATAAATAAGAATCAGTTTCCCCCACAGTCTATGAGAGAGGAATGTGTATCTGTGTGTGTGTTGAGAGAGACAGAGAGAGAGAAAGAGAGATGTACCTATTATCTAACTTTGAGTCTCTCTCCCACCACGGGTCTTCTCGAAATGGAAAACTGACGTTTCTTGTCAGACAGGGACTAGAGCAGACACTGGCCATATAGCCCATTATTTCTATTTCACTTCTCTAATAAGTAGGTTGGGAATAGTGGGGAATGTAATGCCACAGACACAGTGACAACACCATGTGCTGCAGGAACACTCACTCCCATGCTTTACTTACTGCTGAGGACACCTGCATCCCTCAGGCCCCTGGAAAGGGTGAGGCGGACCAGGGAAGGGAGACACTGGCCTACATGTGTCATTGCTGAGGGAGGCCATCCAGAGCTCCTGACCCTGCCGCTATCCCTGCAAGTCATACTGTTACCTAATAACTGGGACATGGAGAGATATCTGGGCACACAGAGAAAAGGCTTTCATTAGAAAAAAGAATTACTAAGGAAATAGAAAAGAATGTCAGATCAACTTTTATCTAGTAGTCATTTAGATAAAAAAAAGTATTCTAGTACTTCAAATAAAAGAGTAGGTAGGTACAACAAAAAATAAAACTTTATTTTAAAATAACAAATAATCACTAAATGCACAATAAGTATAGGTAACTATAGGCAAAATGTTATACAGTAGATTTGCAGAATGTATTCATCTTACAAAACTGAAACTTTAAACCTGTTGAACTTCAATGCCTTAAAAATTAAGTAGTGAGATCCCATATTACACAATTTTATACCAAAATAAAAAAGACAATGTGATTGATAGCAGATATTAAAGAGTAAATTCAAAAAGAATGTTTAAAGCAGTTATAATCTAGAATTGTACACTAGAAAACTATAAGATAAATTAAAATGATGTGGTTCCTTCATCATTATTTCAAATCATAACAAAGATATTAAATTTGATGGAGATTAATATTCATTTTTAACATTCACTATTTCAAATCACACAGAAAATTAATCAACACCAAATTGGACCACTGTTTATGTTCTGGGAAATGAGAAAGTTAGTGCAAAACTTTTTCAATTCCTTCAATATCCTTGTTATTCCTAGTATTTTTATTTCTGATGAGAAGCTAAATCCAAGTTAATTAAATTTAATTTAGAGCAGTGAGTAGCAATATCAATATGATTATGAAATTATATCTGGTTTCAAAATCAAGGCTCAACTGTGCAGTGTTCTCTCTACAACACGTCACCTGCAAGAGCAGCCTGGTTATTGTGTTCAACTTGGTATCAACCACTGTGAGCAGCTCTTGCTTCACTAATGGCTACATGCATTGAGCATGACAACGTCTCTTAGCACCTGACTTTCCCATGATGCTCCAGGCTCCTTCTGTAAATCAGCATCTCCTGGGTCTTCCCTCCTACCCCACATCTATGGGATTTGGTTCCTACCTTTTCCTGGGGAGTGATCAGCAGACAGGGCACTTGGACTGGAGAAACACAGGCCCAGTCTGTGTCCCAATCTTGGCGCCTCCACTCACTAGCTAGAGGACAGTCAAATATACCTCATAAATTTATAAATTCTTTAACTCCCTGATAAAGAATTCTTTCCTTTATGATATTAAAAAATAACTTAGAGTAAGATACTCCCTGTTTTTATATATGTACAATACGTATATATCAATGTGTTGTGTATGTATGTGTTTGTGTGTAAGTATCAATGTGCATGTACACATTTTTCACAGACAAGTACTTTCTTTTTTATTCCACTGGGACAAGTAATTTCTCCTCTACATCTTGAGGTGGGCTCTGTGCATAGCCTGTCCTCGTTTATACTGTGTTTTTCTAAGAGAGGTTTGTTCCTTTCCTATCCTGGGTAAATCAATCCCTCACCATAATTTGACACTGATTTTAAAAGTAAGGATGAGAAAAGTGCATGGGATGGTACATAGGATGTTACACTTGGGTGCTTCACCATCAGAAAAAGGCCTGAAGACCAAAAGGCTGCCCCTCAAAGAATAGCTGTCCCCAGACATGGCTCCCCCTGCTGGACAGACCTGGGACACACATACTTGTGCGTTTTCTGACCCATTCCCAAACGAGCGGCAGCAGGAGCGCTTACTGCTCCTCGGAAGGGCACAGACCTGTTGCCCAGGTCACCCCAGCCTATGCTTCTCAGCGACATGACAGCAAGTATGTACTACCGCTGTGCTGGACACGAACATAGGAGCTTTCCATTCAGTGGAGGTTAGTTTCACACAACAATCTTCAGAGTTAGGTGCAGCTTGAAGTTACAATTTGTATTTTATGAGAAGAAACAAAATTATTCATCGTTACACACCTTTTATGAGAAGAGGCAGGATCTGAATTCAAATAACCTGAACATAAAATTTTCATTCTAGGTACATACATTGCTTTTGTTTTCATTTTCTTTTTTATCAACTCTCGGAACAACAGCCTGCTGCTGTATGCTGGGCAACACACAGACATACACTCAGTAGCCCTTGGCGGGGTGGGGGTGACTGTGGATTGTCCTGAGATCATGGTTGGTGGAGACAGGCGTTCCATGCCTTTTAGATCAGGGATAAAGATAAAGATGGAGAAATGGGATGGCAGACCGTTATACCAATACTACTCTGTCTTTAGGAGAGATTAGATGCCTCTCACTGAGAATACAGAAAATGGTAAATGAGTAAATAAGCTTCCCTTCTAACCTAAATCAGAAACACTGCAAATCCCCAAAATGACTAAAAGCTCTGAAGAAGGGACACAGCAAGGCAGAGATGGCCTGAATGGAGCAGCTGGCTCAGGGGCAGGAGGTGGGCCCCAGGACAAGGGGGGCTACGCGGGAGTGGGGGAGGGAGGGGAGGGCTCAGGAGCCCGGCGGGCACAGAGTCATGGGACGCGGACAGTTCCAAGGATTGAAATATGGATAAACAGTCTGAGAAAAGCGACACTTAGAGAACTTATAGATGAGCGACCCTTGGTTTGTGACATTAAAAAATGAGACAGTGCCTGCTTCAAAGTCTATGAAAACCCCCACTCGACAGGGAGGAACAGCCATGGAAAGAATCAAGAGCTTGGGATCAGAGGTGGGAGAGTCCTCAAAGGCATTGTACTCAGACTCATTCTGTAAGCCTATAACCCAGTAGCCATTTCCCGGTCTGAATTTGGTGTAGACATTAGAATAATTTACATTTGGGTTAAAAACAAACCCAGAGCTTTTTTCTCTGTTGAAGTTACTTGGTTCACTGTATACCCCCAGGATCCAGGCAATCTTTCCAGACACATCAACTTCCCAGTAATATTTCCCTGAGAAGAAATTTTGGCTGCCTAAGACATCAAAAGCAGAAAAATTGCATGGATATACGTTGCTAAACATAGAGTATTTTTGAACTGTCACTTTTCTCCGATCTGAAGAAACGACAACATTCGAAAGAGTGTTGAGTGGATGCAGCATCAAGTCCACTGTAGGAAAAATAACACAGGTGAATTACACAGGGCAGGTGTGTCTTGTGACACTGTGGTGAGGAATATTGGGATTGACTGGGAGGAACATGAGGGAACGGGTCAGTGATGGATAGCTCACTTTAGAACTGTTGTTGGTATGCACATGTGGGAGGAAAACACGGTACTAAGATTATGGCACTTAATAATACCAGAACTTCTGAAAAGAGGTCAGAACATGGTGATTTGAAGAACTTGTGACTACTTACCCCAGTAGCTTTGGACTTCTGTCAGCTCTGAAATGACAAAAGTTTCAATGATGTTGTTAGAGCAAAGGTGGAAACACTGTACCTGTCTTTCTCTCGAGTGGGAACAGAAAAGGGGAGTCCTTTGAGGCTGTCAACGGGAGAAAGAGAGGACACCTGGCCTTTCCATCTGAGATATGTTGGCATCTTCAGCAAAGGGCTTTTGTCGCTTCCTGTCAGGACTACTTCTCTTTCATCTCTTGTGGAAGTAACATCCACTCCCCCATTTTGCTCTGACACTAGGAGAATCCCACACCCACACCTTCCCATGGGCTCCCTTCACCTTTAACATTTTTCAGCATCCCACTGAGATCTGGAACTCGGAATGTACTCTTCAGTTTCTTGGGAAAAATTTTTGGCTTCTTCAAGGTGTAGATCTTGCTTCTAGAGAAGAAAAAAATTGATTGCCTACAGTTCTCACTTTGTGTCTCTCCAAGACCAGTGTCTCCCTCACCTTTCCCTCCATGGTGCCTCCTCGCTCAACTCCGCTTCCTTCAAGAGCCTGAGGGAGGGCGAGGTGAGACCCCTGACACTGCAGCCAGAAAAAATGTCTTCATGTCTACCTTTCCATTTAGCCTGTGAGTGACCTTGGGAAGGGCTTCTTCTCATGAAGCCCATATAGTCCTTCTAAAACGAATATTTAGTTCTCTTACATTCTTACATAATCATTACATAATAAGAATGAATTCTCTATTCTCTATTTTTTAAAAACAAATAGTATTAGATGAAATAATGGTATCTTCAAAAGGTCTTTGGTGTTTAAAAAAATATTGGTGGAAGAAGCAGCTTTGTCAGTGGTTCTTCTAGGACAAGGCCAGAAATATGGGTTCTCTGGCAGTTGGTTAGTGGAGAGGCTCTAGAACTCCGCTCCTGAGAGTTACAGGCTATCAGGTGTGGGGCTCCTTCATCTAAAGCCTAAAGGCCTCCTAAGCCTGTTATCTCAGTGTAGATGCTGAGAATGATATATAAGGTCACATTCTCTGGGGAAACGTTACGAATATTTGGGTAAGGAGAAGCGATGACATCCAGATTAATAACGATCTGAATCTCATGTACTGGTCTTGTCAAGTAGGTAGGGAACTTTAGACAAATAAAACTGTTTTTTCCCTATAAGATGCTAAAGTGTTTAAGCCAAAAGAGGTTAATTATTGCACTAGGACTAAAGTCGTTTTTCCCCAAGACTTGAGTTATTTATTTATCTACCGCAACCGAAGAAAAGACTTTGCAAAACTCCTCGCAGAAAATTTGGGAGCCTGGCAGAGAAAGAGGACAAGGTCCTCCCTGTGACAAGACAGGCACCTGTGAAGTACTGAAATGAACGCTGGGGCAGAGACTGAGGTCTGACTCAAATGGGTGAAGCCGTTGAGTTCTGACGCTGCAGCCCCTGCTTCCAATGCTTCTGTTCACACAGACTCTGTGTCTGTGGTGGGAACCTCCCACCATGCGTGTTCCCTCCCACTAAAAAGTTTCACCTGTCATCAGCAGTTTGAAACCATGTAATACCCAAATTTTTAAAAAGTATGTGATTTTAAAAAGTTACCTAATTTTTTAAAGTTATGACTGATTCAAGAGTACTCTTTACACTTATAATTCTGTCATCACACACAAAAAAGACCATGCCTGGTCTTGCACACATACCTTGTTATGACGTTAATCATGTCCTGGGGAGGAGAGAGAATATATCAGCCAAGTGTAAGGTTTCTAGATTTAGAAATTTAAATTTAGTTAAAATTTAATCATGTATAAATTCCAAATATGTCTTAGTACAGTTATGACCTCTGCAACAATTATGATACTCTTCTGCTAATTATGATGTGCCATTTATCTGAAATTCAACTTTTCCTACACGTTTCTTATTTCATCTGGCAAATCTTGAAGGAGTGATAAGCCCTCCTACCTAACGAAGTTTTACCCACCTTCCTCCTCACACTCGTAGAACCCCTTGATATGCTGTGAATAAAAACATAGAATAAATGGGACAAACTGCAGAGATAAGACCCAGACCAATCATCCCAGAGGACTCATGCGAAGATACTAGAAAGATACTTCAAGGTTCTGGGGCTGTAATTCATTTAAAGGAAGAGTCAGCCTACAATTTTTAATATACATTCATGAGAAGACCCCCTTAATTCATTATGTTTTTATTTATTCTAGAGGCAAATAAAGGTAAAACCTTCTATTCGTCAGACATCATTCCAAGTTCTGGGGAATCAAAAATGATTAATTAATAATTACAATCCTCAGGAAGTATATTTTCTTTTTTTCTGCAGGGACAAGCAAAGTAGCCCCCCAAACAAATGTTTCTCTGGCCTCCCTCTACTTTTCTATATACCCCCTATGCACAACCTGAGGGGAATCTCATCAATTTTTAAATATGAAACAGACCACAGAAATCAGCAGCAGAAAAGTCTAAAATGTAATTGTCTGTTTTCCAATCGTTTACATTCCATTGCCCAGATCGCTATCGTCTCCATCGCTGTCTTAAAAGGTATATCTTACCCTAAATTTTAATATGGTATTAAGCCAGTTTGGTCTATACCGTCAGCTTCTTTTAGCCACCTTCTTTTCCCCATTTTAAAATTACTGGCCTGATTCTTTGAATGGAAAAACACCAATATATTTGGTTTCCCCCTCTTTAGTCTAAATCCTTTACAAACAAAACTTGGCTGTACATCCTCAAAAAATTTTACTCTCTGTGTTAGGTCTGCTCTTGTTATTGTATATGACAAAAAAAATAATAAAACCAGCTAAAACTGGCTTAAATATAAATTAAAAAAGAGAAACTCAGGAAGCAGGTATAACTTTTGTAATAGCTAGATTTTTAGGAAAAATCTGGTCATCAGGGTCTGTTTTTTCTTCTTGAAGTCTTATTTTCTACTTGCTATATGAATTATCTTTCCATATTCTATATGGTGTCAACATGAATATCCTGGTTTAAATGATAATTCATATACATTAGCAGACAAGAGAATTTCCCTTTCTAGACATAACCCTAAAATTCTAAGGCATACAAATCATTGCCCTGAATTGGTTCAAGTACATAACTGCAAATAATTACTGTATCATTGGTAAACCTATAAGAATTGAATATGCTGATTTCCCTAGAATTAAGAGACATATACATCCCTAATGCTACTGATTTTGTCAATCCTAATAAACTTCATGGAATGAGAGTAGAGATGGTTCTTCAAAGGGTAATCAAGAGATGGTTAACAAAAAAAAAAAGTAATTGATTGAGGTTGGATAGGTAACTGTCCTATACTGTCTATCCGTTAGCTGACTGTCCTCTCCTCACCCTATATAAATCCCTCAAGGCTTTTAATAAAAATTAACAAGATATACAAAAATTCTCATAGAAAATTTAATGAACCTAGTACAGAGTTTCTCACCTTTGACACTACTAGTATTCTAGTCCTGATAGTTGCTTTCAATGGTGCCTGTCTTGTGCTTTGCAGCTGAATTAGCAGCATTTCTGGCTTCTACCGACTAGATGGCAGTGAAATCCTCCAAATGACTCCTGCTGCAGCAGTGCTTAAATGGTCTCCAGAGAAAAGTGACTTCACATAGAATTGTTTTGCAATAGAATTGAATAGGATTGTCCAACCCAATTTGAACATATTTTATGAAGCCATAGTAATCAAAAGCTTAGGGTGTCAGTGCAAAGATAAATAGAGATATTTATGTAGGAGAGTGATAATCCAGAAATACATCCTTATATTTAAAGCAAATTGATTTTTGGCAAAAGTGCCAAAGTAATTCAGTGGAGAAGGGAGGGTCTTTTCAACAAATGTTGAACTGAATTTGTTCTGGTTTCAACATCATGGATGGAATTTGAGGATATTATGGTAAATGAAATAATCCTGTTGGTGAAAGACAAATACCATATGATTTCACTTATAAGAGGAATCTAATGAGCAAGGTAAACTAATAAGCAAAATAGAACCAGAGGCACAGAAACTTGGAACAGACTGACAGAGGCCAAAGGGGAGGGAGAAGAGAGATAATGGTGGAAAGAAGGGAAGCGACTAGTCAAAACCATGTATGAATGACCCATGGACGTGGGCAATGGTGTGGAGATTGACTGTGGGAGCGGGGGCCCGGGGCTGAGTGGGCTTGGCAAAGGGGGGCAAAGGGGGAAAATTGGGACAACTGCAATAGAATAACAATAAAAAATAAATAAAAACAAAAAATCTCAATATATTTATAAATGCAATATATTCAAATAGCATATTAACAATGGATAGGTTTTATATGCAATTTATACCTTAACAAATGTGTTTTTTTTAAGGCACAAGTAAGATTTAGCAGATAGAAATTGATTAGTCCCATATTGTAACCAAAGTTAAGAAATCCTTGTTCAGCTAGCAAAGGAGAAGGACAAGAAATCAAGCAGAGAAAATCTGAAATTTCCTAAGAGTCTCCATACATTTCACAGCTTAAGATCACAACCATGCAGTTAATTTCACTTAAAAAATTAAACATTCATATTAACAAGTCTCTAGAGGTTTCCCCCAGTCTTTCCCTAGCCAGTGCAAACACACACACCCACACATATTAGCATATTCATATGTGCTCACTCCTCAACCAGGTATTAATCTATCATTACACCTGCCACTCCTTAAAACAACAACAAAATCAAACATAGAGATGTGAGTTGTTTGACTAAGCTCAGTTAAGAAATGCCTTACAAATTCTAGCTCACAGATAAAGAAGATGATACTCTTTGCTCAAATTTTTGCACAGCCCTTTATAAATAATGATGGGCTTTCCCTTGCCATTTCTGTATTGAATTTCCTGATGACCCTTCAAATGAATGACAGAGAAGGAGCACTGAGGGGTCAATGGAACCTTTTAATGGGAAAGAAGGTGCAGGGACTCAGAAGGTAAAGAAACTTAATCTCTGTGTTTCCTCCGAATTTCGTATGTGGGAGCTCTATTCCAAGTCTTACCTGCAGCATCTCTGGAGAGGATTCACACATATGACGCTGGAGATCTGAGACGAGCTCACTCAGGTACTGCCTCTGCTGGACCACCTGGTCTATAGCCACTGTTAAGTCACCCAGCACATTCTCTTCATCTTCCTCGAGCTTTTGCAGCTCCCTCTGCTCCTCTCTGTCCAGGATGCCTCTCATTTCCTCAAACCCCTGCAGAATCCTCTCTCTCTCTGTCTGCATACGGTTCTTTGAGGATGAGAAGAGAAAGAGGCAGTCAGTCTTTCATGAGCCTTGGGAACTAAGACAAGAAATATTTTCTTCAGGCACTTAGGAGGGAAAAGGGAAAAAGCAATTTCTGGGAAAAACCATTTTTCCTACTATATTCCCTTAGGCTCCTCCATGAGTAATTCATTCGAGTCTTCTTCCTCAAGGCCCACCAGCAGACACAACGTGCTGCCTGGATGAAGCTTGGGTTGTACACACCTGTCTTGGGCAATCCTGCCACACTGTATATGAAATTCCCACCCAAATATGCAAAAACAGGAATCCAGGGCCTTTCATAAGGTGTTTTCTGAAAGTATCAGAGCCTCATACTTGATGACGGAAATGGGTCATGGGATTCATGAATAATTTTTACATTGCTTCCCTCTATGTCTTTTCCTCCAAAACAGCTGCTTTCACTTCTAACATGTCTACTCTGAAGCCCCCAACACTCTATAGGGAAGGAAGTGAGTGAGGAGTAATCAAATGTCTTCTGGGCTCATTCATTGTGAGGTACCAAGGAGGAAGGGGCCTCCCTGTGAATAGACCAAGGTGCTGCCCACTTCCCTGCCTTAGAACTCCGACAGGAATAATGTCTTCCTACCACCCAAGTAGCTTTCTCTTCATTGATGTCAGCTTCCAACTGCTCAGCTTCCTGCTGCTCAGGGGTCAGCTTATTCAGAGCTTCCTGGATCTTCTCCTGTAAGAAAGAAATCAACAAAGTCAAGCTACAAGCTTTCTCAGTACATGGATTAAGGATAAATGAAGAAGAATCAGGCTCACCTCAGAATAGAGTAAGTTTCAGAAACAAAACTGACTATTAGAACTAAGAATATAGACAGAAATCTGAGGAGGCAAATGTATCCTTTATCCCTGGATCATGCAAGTTACACCCCCTCTATCAAGAGTAACACGTATCTCTCTTTTCCTAGAGGAATACCTAATCCTGCATTAAGTAAAGTCCTTTCCTCTCATGAACCCTTTTCTCTCATCTAAACAAACAGTCAACATTCCTAAAAATCCTGTCTGTTTACAGGGGCAATCAGAACTTATCTTGGGAAGCAACTCTCAGTCATATACTTCTTTGCTAAAGGTGTGTAGTCTACACTTACTCTTGAAGAAAATGAAAGAATGCACAGAAATGCTCTTCATGCTTCAGAAGCTGAGTGAAGGGTATGAGAAGAGAATGCAAGGCTCAGTTCTATGATGACGAGGGGAATGGATAGGATTAAAAAGAGAAGATTTCGCTTCAGATGCCATTCTGTGCAATGTTTCCCCACCCTGGGGCTTACCTGGCATTCTTTGACCACCTCCTCTCTGGGGGACATTTGGTGACCTTGGTGCTCCTGGTCACAAAGACTGCTAACAGCCTCCTCCTCATTCTCACAGAAGATAGATTTATTTTCCCCATGGTCCTCATCAAAGTCATTATTCTGCAACAGGTGTGAACTCATATTGATGTTTCTGAATTTCTCCACCGTGTCCGCCAGCTCCCAATTAAACAGGAGTTTCCAAGGCTGGTATCTACTCTGGCAAACCGGACAGCAGCATTCCAATCCTACGGGGCTCCCTGATTCACTGTTTGCAGTGATGCAGGCTGCGCAGAAGCTGTGGCCACAGTCCAAGCTCATGGGCTCTCTGAGGAGCTCCCGGCAGATGGGGCAGGTCACCTCCTGAATGCTCACTTGTGATGAAAAATCCATGGCCAAGCTCCCCTGGCTTCCCGTCCTGACTCTGGAGGCTCTTCTTTCTCACAAACTCCTGAGGGGCTGGTAATACAGAGGGGGCAGGATAAGAATGGCAGAAAAAGAAAGGACACTGATGTGCAGATTTTTAGAACAGGACAAAACATTAATACCCAGGAAAGGAAAAGAGAGGGAGAGAAGGTAGGTCAGTGACAGAATGAAAAGGGTTCTTCCTAATGCTTTCAAACGCTTCACTCTTATTTCATGTCACGTGACACATTTCATCTCATCCAGGCAATGACTCATTGATATTTTCTCTTTTTCTACTGGATAGAAGGATAAATTGAGGCCCTTCCTGCCAAGAGCTTTGTGCTGCCCATCATTAGTCTTATCTACTTTCCCCTTCCCCAAACACATCCAACATGTTAAATACTCTAACCTTACTGCAGCCTGCTAGGTTCTGATACTTGCTCTTCTCCCTGTGTGGAATGATCCTACCCTTGTCATTTGCATGACTTATTTTATTTTAACACTTTCATGGAGTTATATTTATATCACATTATTTTTTAAGAGTACCACAATTTCTAGTAAATTTATGGAATGGTATAATTATCACCAGCTTCCAATTTTAGAGCCATTTATTTCTTGAAAACAAAGCTAATGCCATTAGCAGTCATCCCTATTCTGACCCCGAGCCTCAGACTACCATTAATTTCCCTATTTTTTAAAGATTCTTTTTATTTATTTTTAGAGAGAGGGGAAGGGAAGGAGAAAGAGAGAGGGAGAAACATCATTGTGTAGTTGCCTCTGACATGCCTTCTAGCTGGGGACCTGGCCCACAACCCAGCCATGTGACCTGGCTGGGAAGCAATCCTTTAGTTCACAGGTTGGCATTCAATCCACTAGGCCACACAAGCCAGGGCTCCCTTGTGTTTTCATAGATTTACCTTTACTGATAAATTCATAACAGTGGAATGATACAGTCTCTTGAGTCAGAATCCTTCCATTTTGCATGCTGTCATTGGGAGGCATCTCTCCTGCCTTTCTCTCCCATGTAACAAACATAATCTTCATATTAAGAGCACAAAAACCACTGCTGTCAGAGATTTTGAACTTGTCTGTCTCTGCATGAAATTACCTTCTCCCTGAGGTCACCATATGTTGGGAAACATCCTGTCTAGCTTCAGGAACTGTACCTCCACTAACAGGCAAGAGGGCCCCAAGGCTGGAGCTAAGCAAGGGGGCCTTGGGAAAACAGGCTACTAGAGAGACAAAACCTGTCTCCCCGGCAGGGGCACAGCCCTTGCCTCCCTCACCTCACCCTGCTTGGCCCTAGAGGATGGCCAGTTAGTCAATGACGGGTAAGACCACTTGATGGAAGGGGCAACCTAAGACAGGCACAGCCACATGGTCATCAGGGAAAAACTTGGGAGACACATAGAAAGGGCAAAAAGACTCTCACCCTTTGGCTTTGATATGGCCGGTGTCCTCATTCTATTTGAAAGAAGTCTCCTTATTTCTTGGCTGCTTTGCCCTCCCCACTCCTGGCTCAGGTTTGAAACAATACTGGAGACAGCCCTAAACTGGATTGGGTGGTTCCCCAGGGAAATCGAGCCTAAAAGTAAATTCCTTGAAGCATGCTTTGCTTTTTCCTCAAAAGCTATGATAACCAGCTCATACTGGGAAGAAAATTTACATTATTCACAGACTCTGACCCTAAACCCTTTGGTGCCCTTATGTTTATGTTCTCATGGTTACTCTTCTCATCTTGGACTCATGTAAATGGACCCATGTAAATCAATGTTCCTGCCATTTGTTTTCCTCAACACCATCTATTCTATGTGAACATTAACATGATGATGTAATGAGATCACCTGTATATTCCTATTACCTAGTCCCATTGATAACCCTTTCAATAAGCCTTTGGACAAAGGGGGCTTGGGGACTCCTCCATTGGAAGGAAGTTCCATCTCCCTCTTCTGGCAGACAGAAAAGTGTCTGGAAAACTCACTTTATTTCTCCAATCTGTGGTGACCCTGGGATGGGCTCTGTGTGATTCAGAGCCCAGCTCCCACCCTCAGCTGGCGCCCAAACAGGGACCTGAAGAGTCCACCTCACTCATGAGTTCTTACATTAATTCAGTCTCCATCTCTCGTGACCTCTTATCAGAAGGGCCTGCTCCAGTGTATCTATAGCAAAACTGCCAATACGTCACTCATACATTTGCTGTATTTTTCTCATTTTACTTCATAACATATAACATCTTTCTTTAACTGTTTCCTTTTTCTTCTTAAAAACAAATTCATGCATCAATTGGGCACCACTTTGTCCACTGCTGTGTCCTCAGTGCCTAGAAGAGGGCATCACACAGGAACACAAGGTTTGATGAACACAGAAAACTAGACGCTCCCTATCTCTCCATGGAAGGTTAGAATTTTTTAATCAGCTTTCACCTTTATCCCATTATGATCAGTTCTCCTATACCCGAGAATTGTTTCCTTGCCAACACACCTGTCCCACACAGAGCGTCCCCATGCCCTCCAACTTGTTCCCCAGAGAAACCTACAGAGGCAGCAAAGACCACAACAGAGACCTCATTTTATTACTAACAATTTTGAAACCAGCTGTAATTTAGAAATTACAACTGACCTATTTATTTCTTATATGAAGTTTCTGAAAAATCAGTAATCCCTTCTTGGATTAAGGATTACATGAAATAGTCACAAAATCAACATTGGAATATACAAGTAGAGTATAGGGAATATAGCTGATAATATGGTAATAACTATGTATGGTGCTGGTGGGTACTTGAAATATCAGTAGGGGAGGGATCGCTCTGTAAAATATATGATTGTCTAAACAAAATGCTGTAAATCTGAAATTAATAGAGAATTATATTGATGATCAACTGTAATTAAAAACCAATTTAAAACAAAATAAGAAAAAATGAATTTAAAAATAAAAAAGAATATTCTTTAGATGTGTAAATAAAATAAATAACTTACAGAGTTCAAGGTCATTCTTTTAAAATAGGTAGAGCTGTAAGGAAACATACCATCATCAATAATCCCATTCAGTGATCTCTCCACTACTGCACAGATCAAATAGAGGTAGAGGTTGCAAGAAATAGATAGATACCCAATGCAATGAGACTGTAGAAACAGAGAGAACAAAACCATCTGGGTAGTTCTGGGAAGACTTGTGTTTGTAGATTTTGGGCCTATACTTTGGCCTGGACATAAGGCAATGTGTCAATAGGCACATAAATATGTGTGTTTTAGGGAGGTAGAGGTGTGTTCACATACTCAGGATATACATGTGACAGAGATCTGAGAGACATAAATTCAATGAGGCATCTGTCAGTCATCAGAGAGAAGACTCAATATGTAGGGAGGCCGTATCCAGTAGAAATAAACTCTGTCTTGTTCCAAAGAAATTAAAGGTTATTATGAGTTGTGTCCTTCCAGAAGATGTTTAAATCTATCCACAGAACGTTGGAATGTACCTTTGTATGGAGATTGTGTCTTTTCAGGTGATTGTGTTAAAATGAAATCATGAGGATATGTGTTAATCCAACATGACTGTAATTTTATAAAAAGGAGAAATTTCTATACTGCAGGCATGGAGAATGCCTGGTGAAGATAACAGCAGAAAGAAGGGTGATTCAACTGTATGAGAAGGAATGCCGGTGAGTGCAAGCCAACTATCAGGAGTGGACCCAGCAGAGAGGCGTGGAACTGCTGCTTCCCTCACAGCTCTGAGAGGACCCGGCCCTGCCAACATCACTGATGTTTTATTTCTAGCCTCCAGAACTGTGAGAACAAATTTCAGTTAAGCCACCTAGTTTACAGTACTTTTGTAAGACAGCCCTAGAAAACTGACACACGTATTTGTTTTTCTTTTCTTCATTCACTGTATTCTATCATTGAAGAAGCATTATATCATTGAAACCCTTCCACTTAGGACAGATAGACAGACAGAAACAGAATGTACTCTTGCTTTTTGAGATGGTACAATGTATGAGTTTTTACAGAGTAAGGTAAGGGCCAACTAGGGTCCCAGTTTTCTTATCTCACTATATTCTAATGTCCACACAGAGGCTTTCTGCACCTGTGCAGTTCAGACAAAAAAAAAGTGAAAGTGTCTCTACAATGTTGCAAAAGGCTTCTGAAGGGTTTAGCCAACACCCTTGAAACCTCTCCTGCACCCTGATTCACCAACTACCCCCAAGAAGGTGAACGTGTTCTTGGCATCCAGACACCTGGCCACATAAGAAACATTGCAGCTCCCCTCTATTCCTCTATATTAATAGTCTTTTCTACCCCACCTCCTTCAAGGTCAGGGTTTATCAGCACCACATTAATGAACCTCCCCACAATGCTCTACCTCAGGTCAATTTGTTTCCAAGAAGTCATTTGGTAACTGAGGTCGTCTTCAGAAAGCTACTCCTAGTCTCATCCTTTTCTCTCACAGTCAGTTCATCAGAAAACCCTGCAGTACTGTCTTCAAATTAGGTCCCAACCAACTCAGTCTTTTACCTGGAACCAGAGATGGTTTCCCACTAGTCTTCCTGATCCTGTTGAGGCAGGAGACAGTCAGGAAGGAGGAAAGTCCAGAGGTGCCCCAGGAGATAAAGAACATGAATAAAGAGCGGAGACCCTGTCCTAAGTCTGGTAGTTTCTGCATCTGGAGAAGCACTGAATCTTAGTTAATCAGGACTGCACCTGGGCAGAAGATGCTACCTGACCCCTACTTCATTATAATGAATTAGCATTGTGGGACCCTCTTCCCAGTAGCCAATCAAGGAAAGGAAGGCCTACCCTAAGGAATAAAAGTCCTCTAGCCCCGGAGTTCGACCCTTTTTTTCTTGCCCTGCTCCTGCTGCTGCCGCCGCTGCTGCCGCCGCCGCTGCTGCTGTTAGGCCCTTCTCCTTTCTTCTCTGCTCCACTCTGCTCAGAGTTGGCCTGCTTCCATATTCTGTGTGGCTTAATAAATCTGCTTTTTCTCGCTTTCTGATATAAACTCTGCGTGTTCGGTTCAATTTTTTTGTCCGCGATCACCAAGAACCTGGTTACCTGTGCCCACCTGTGACACTGTCACTGGTCTCTTTACAGTCTTCTGTTGTCACTGTTCACCATCAGCCAAAGTGATACTTTAAAGTATATATTAACAGTGTGACTCCTGTTCAGATGCACATCATCAGTGAGTTGATCTTATTATGGTTCAGTCCAATTACACATCTCTCCCTGCTGCCTCACACTCTTAACCCGCCTTCCCCGCAACCCACACTGGCTGCATTTATGTTCCTTAATCAGTACAAAAAACATCATTTCCTTGAAGACTCTAATCAAAATCATCTTCTCACACAGAGAACTAATCTGAATTTTATTTAAAATTTCAATGCCCTTGACGAGGGCACAATAGATGCCATGCCCTGTTGTAGCCCATTTGGTTTATTACTGTCTGTTTTACATTTATAACACAGAAATTTTTTTCTTGTGTTATACCTCCTCACTCTATCACAAAATGTAATTTCTATAAGTACATAATATTTGTTGTACATTCAATAGAAATAAATAGAAGTAAACCAGAGCTGTATGTATTTGTTCTTTTCACTTTAATAAAAATTTCAAAATTTATAGTAATTTAATTTCCCCTGTTGGCAACCTGTAATAATCCCTAAGAATTCAATTAATATACACCAGATATGAGCCTTGTCCACATTAGACACAGACTCATGTTCTCTGAGAAGAAGGAAGCAAGGAAAGTACATTTTGCATTAAAATATATGTCACAGAGAGATCAAAGGAAAAGTAGCACAGGATGAAATTAAGATGGAGCTCTTTCTGAAAAATCCCCAACTCCTTTTTTTTTTTCAGCGCCAAGCTAGGGAAATGTTAAGTAACGGGTTAATGTAATAAACAATGGAAGGGTATGTCTAAGATGACGCAGAATGTGTTTTGAAGCAGAAGAGGACACTGTAAACTGAGGTCAGAGTAAGCCGTGGAATTCAGGGGTTCTTCTCCCAGACCCCCAAAGAGAAAAGCAGGCTTGCAAAGGGCTGCTCATTTATCAGGAAGGTTGTGCACAGCTGCCAGAAGTTACCAAGACAAAAGTAAAAGGATCAGGGTCTAGGGAAGGGGCGGCAAGGGCCATGTCTGGTCTCAAGGGTGGCAAGAAAAAGCCCCTGAAGCAGCCCAAGATGCAGGCCAAGAAGATGGACTAGGAAAACAAGGAACTCAAACAGAATCAAAAAGGGGAGCAGAAGAAACTTGAGTTGCTGAAAGCAAAGGCCATGGGGAAGGGCCCCCCAGGACACAGGTGATACCAAGAAATCTGGCCAGAAGTGAGCTGTTTCCTGTGCCTGGGGAAATGGTGATCCTTAATTCCAGTCCCATTTTAACATCTGAGTACCTTTCATAACACCTGCTGCCACTTAGAGCTAGAATGAATCGTCTTGGAACTCACTGTATATTTAAGAATACATTTTTGTAAAAGATGACAGTAATTTAACAAAAGAGTAAAAGGATCCGCTTCAAGAGGCTCTCGCTCATCCCTGGCAGGGCCCCTAAACTTGCCCCACCAGATGCTCCCGGGGAAGGGCTCTGATTTCTTCTGGCCCCCACCAGGAGCTTGGGCTTCAGGAAGAGGGAGAAGAAGGCTCCACCTCACAGGTTTCAGTGGGGAAAAGGAGGAAGGGATCATCTGCCTGGGAAACAACAAAGGGTCTGAGGATTCTGGCTCACCTTGGCAAGGAAGAAAGTCAAAACCGGAGAAGAGGAAGATGAGAGTAACTCAGCCTGGAGATATAATGGTCCCTCCAAGAAACAAGTATGACTCTTTGCTCTTTCAAACCTCCCTTCTTTAAAGGTGCTCTTTCCCCAGGCCCAATGTTCCTCTTTTCTGCCACCTCAGCAGGGACAGCCATAACCAGAGCAGCTGCAGAACCACATTTTAAGTCACCAATCACATTCGGTCTCTTCCCACAAAGCCTCCTTTCCTTCGTCCTCAGAAACTGCCCCACTTACCTACAGGAGAAGTGCAGGAGAATTGAACCAGTGGAGAAGGTCAGCTGCAGGCCTGCTCAACATTTACTCAACAAGCCAGGGACCAGCTCTCCACAGAGGAGTTCCCACCAGGAAAGGAGTGAGAAATGAAACTGAAATGCAAAGGATAGGAAATGAAACAAAGGAAGGAGAACAGAAACTTAAGAACATTGCCATCTAGTGGGACACTTGGAGAAGTTAATGCCTCTGTAGGTTCTAGGACCTACACCAGCATAGCACCCAGTCACTGTGTTTTCCCCCCTTGCAGATTATTCTAGAAAGAATCATTGAATAGGAAGAATGTGAATTCCAAAGATATTGTCTACAGGTTGCCTGAATACTCAGAATTTCAACTCAGTTCTGTAACGATCAGTTAAGCTTATCTACATTCAGGTCCTAAACACCTTACTAGGGACAAAATCATGATCCAGAAAGTCTGGAGAGCTGCCCTTTGAAATGCAGAGTGTGATGCAGAAGAGAATCAGTGAAAGAGCTCTAGTACTCTGAGCTCAGTGGTGGCAGCTGTCATCGTGCGCGGTAAAAATAAAATGTTAGAAAGGTTGTTCACTGTGAGCCTGCTAAGGAAATTCTTCCACAACCGCATTGAACTTCGCAGTCCACCAGTTAATTAGCGGCTTTCGTTCCTGGCCTTGGCAGGCCAGACGAGAAGCCTTCCAGACATAATGGTGGCACAACTGTGTCAGTGACAAGTTACCAGCACCCAGGAGGTCAACAGATGGTGCTCTTCCCGTGTAGCCTTTCTCTGGGTAACCCTCACACCTCCATCGTCGTGCACTTTCCTCACTTCCTATGGGAAAAGCTTGCTCCTTTTTACACCATGAGTCAAAAGCAGAATGAACTAAATTAAAAAAGAAAAAAGAATAAATGTAAAAGGTACAACTATTGCATGACATAGTATAATAAAAAAATAGGGTAACAATAAAATATAAATAAGTATAATATTTTTCTAGAAAAAGCTGATCTGAAACATTTCTATTTCGTACACATGCTTTCAAGTCCTGTGATCACTCTTGTTCTTCTGAGGATGTGTTTCAGATGATGCAGCTACAAGATGGGGAAGCTCCAGACAAGGGTCCCGACTGACAACACTGCAGAGCTCGGCCATCTTCACACATTAACTCATATGAGACATGAGGGGCAGCTGAAACATCGAAGTTTTTCTAATTAAAGCACAGATGTTTTGCTATTGTCGGTAACCCACAGAAAAGGAAGTTAATCTTGCCTTATAAACGCTTGATTCACGTATGACTATGAGGCAAGAAGTAGAATTAATATAGGCAAAATTGCTCAGCCATATTGACAGTTATAGTTTCAAGGGTATGAATGAAGTTATTTCTAACAAGTAAACTCATAATGATTTGCCGGTGCACTGATAATCATCTACATTTTGCAGTAATTGCATTCCTAAAGTTGGCCCTTTTCCTGTATCATCTTTGTTATCACATGATATCATCGTTGAGTATTCCTGTTTGTCTGGTCCTGTGCCCAACAGCTGTTCTGAACTAAGATTTATCAAGATAGGAAGAGACCTATGTTATTCCTCATCATGTCAAATTTATTACAAAACATTGAGTATGGGGATGTACATTTAATAGAAAGACATACAGTTATATTGCTATGGATGCCACTTTAATTACATTTAATATGTTAATGGAAATCATGGTTTTGTTCTATTGGTGGTGTTGCTATCAACATGATTGCTGTGGTTATAATCAAATTCTGGTATTATTAGCTGTGGTCCACTTCCAGCATATTATGTTCTGAGGACCAGAGAATAATACATCCTCACTCTGGCTCCGTGTTCCCTCTAGTCCCTGTATCTATCTCCTGTTGGAGAGGAATCTAAGGAAAGTTCTTCCATTAATGATTTTTAACTGTTTCTGGACTGAAAAAACACACAAGGAACAGGAAGCAATGTGATTAGAGTGTGGTAGTGCAGATAAACCACAGGCGTTAAAGTAAGGATCTGAGTACATCTTATATTCTGGAACAAGACAGAATATAAGATTTGTTGTTTATTGTTTAGCATTCTCTCTCTCTCTCTCTCTCTCTCTCTCCAGCCCCTTACCCACATCCTTCACTTATTTCATCATTTTTTAACAGTTTCTTATTTCGAAATACTTCCAGATGCTGCCCATTCAAGCTACATGGATGCCCCTTGAGACACTTGCAACATATTCCTCAACAACCTGCCCCCCTCCACACACACAATCTCTCTTGACCCAGATTTCTGATTGTTAAGAGTATCCCAAAAGTCCAGTTATCTGGATAGCAAAACTATTTTTATGCCCCCTTTTCCTAGTTTCCATTCCCCATTTAATCACTTAGTCATGATGAGTGTATCATCTTGAAACTACTCTTTCTCTTCCTCCCTTCCCTCTGAGATTCACTGATATGTGGCAATCAACAGTGCGATGACTGCAGGGGCAGAGGCGGTTGAGGTAGAAGGTGTAGGTGATGGAAAAAATTAAAATGATTTCTAGCTTCTTTAATTTAAAAGAGCTGTCAAGCATAGCACATTTGAGTTCTACCCTTACAGAGTAGGTGTGCAATGCTCATTGACACAAAAACACATGTTCTAGTCATTTTTAAATAAAGTTTGTATCTTATCATCCTTAAATTTTCTTTTTCATGACTGTTCTACCTCAATGACTCTTAAATTCAATTCTTGGAGAGTCTGAAACAAAGTCACCTGGAAGACCTTTACATAAATACAGATTTCTGCACCCCACGCAAGGAGATTTTTATCCAGAATCTTTATATCTAAATTTTTATTCTTAAGGAAAGTGAATGCATAGACAGAACTTCAAAGTCTTATGTCACTGTATTTGAACAACAATCGCTGTCTGCCTCAGGATATTGTGACAAGTAGCAAAAATTATTGGCAAGTGCTTTGTGAAGTAAGGGGGCACAGAAATACCAGGTAGTTAGAAGAATGTTAATGTTTTTACTTGGCCTCCATCATACAGATACCATTATACAACATTAACAAGAGGTTTTGATACAGTTAATGATGGGTGTGTGTAGGCAACTGAGGTGAATTTGGGATGACTAAGGCATTAGAGACATAAACTTTCTCTGTAGAAAGGGAATCAAATATTTTTACAGCAGTTACACCACTTCAAAACTTATTATCATTGTCCTTTTCAACAATGTCCTGTTATATCTGAAGATGACAACTGGTGAAGTATATACTGAATAGTACCTTTTACTTTGGGTTGGAAATCTATCCTTTGTTACTACTTTACCACAATTCTGGGGAAGGGAAGAATCAAAGAAGATTAAAACTAGTGACTCAAATAAATGTACTTTAATTTTTGGACAGTGTTGTAATTTTTACAGATAATTTATAATTAGATGAAGTAGATTAATTAAGAAACTTCTATATAAATGGCAGGCTAAAGGTTTACATAATTATTAGAAGTACAAAGCACTCTGAAAATTGTCATGGGCTGTTCTTAGCTGATTTTCAGCAGTGCCTATGTTCTGTCTTTTATTTGAGCAGATCTCTCAATATTTTAAAATCATAACCAAGGCATCACTTCACTCAGCTTCACTATGCAGCTACCTTTGAGGTAATAGTTATTTAACATACCACAAAACACCACCTTCACACATTATTCTCTCTTCAAATCTTTGAGGGGACTTATTATTATGCCAATAGCAATCATAGTATCTATGTTTTTTATTATGCTTTTGCTTTGACCTTCTTATAGACCAGAGGTGTGATTCAATAACATAAGCATGATAACTTTCTAAGTACCAAAAGAATTGGTGCAAAAACCTATAGGTCATCAAATCCAGTCACATCTTGTATTTGCTCCTTCTACCCTACTTCCTCAACCATGAGGATAAGTAACCTATTACATCTTGAGGTGATTTTTGTGACCATTTCCCTTCTATATTACCAAAAGAAGCCTCAAGTTATACCAGAATATTCTTCACCCTCCTAGAAATTTTCCCTATGGAACAATTCTTTTCTTAGCTATGAAAGATATTTAACTAGTTTAGCATCATCTCTAATGCTTTAGATTTTAAGAGCAAATATGATAATACAAAACACCTGGACAAGAAACCAAAATCTTCAAAGCTTCATATCTCCAGATTCTGGTAATACACTCTTACTGCATCTTGTATTTTTTCTGTCTTTCCCATATCATACTTATAATCATGTCTTCATTGCAACATTTATTTTTCTCATGTCTGCTGCCCATCCCAAGTGAGCTATAAATTCCATGAGGGCTGGAATTAAATGTCCATCTAACCCAGGGATATGTCCTCCAAACAAAGCAGGGTACCTGACATATATCTATTGTATATATTTCCTCTGATGTCCTGGGGAATAAGTATATGGGTATGATCTTTAAAATATTTGCCATAGGGAAAAAATAAATGTCTAAAAATGAATAAATATCTGATATCTGAGCCCAAGGTGTTTGTTTATTGCTATTATAATTATGTTGCATGTATTTAGAACCAATACTACTTCTTTGGCCAAATGCAAGCATGTTGTTAAAAAATTTCAATAAGGAGACTGGGAGGTCAAAAGTATTTAGTCCAAGTGACAACTGCTTAGTACTATTTTATTACATGTCTAACATGAATAGCTAGAGGACTAGCAGCCATGTTCATTTGATCAAGTTTTCCCTCTCTACCACCTCTGTCTACTGAAATTTATCTTCTAATGTTCAGGCAGCAAGCACAGACACAATTTTCCCATCAGAAGTACTTGAGGCATCTCAGAAATCTCACTAGTGTATATGTTTGCTTACTAATGAGGGATTACATGAGGAAGTGCCTGTATATGAAACTGCTTCCAAGAGACATCTGCAAAAGTTCATGTGGTTTGTGGCAACTGGGGTTGCAGCCTGGAGCAGCAGAAGAAGCCTTGCTCTGTATATTCTTGTTTTCAACATGTCTGACTATATTCTTGGAAAAATATAAACTATGATGCAATCATGGGTGTCACCATTCAGGAAAAAGAAGGGGGCCACAGCTGTCAAGAGATGTATTTTCTAAAGTATTAAAAGTTGGATAGCTGAGACCTTTACAGGAGGCACTGAGTGCAATATCTTGTAATGAATTATAAAGTAATTGAAACTCAATTTGATGGACTCTCAAGGATTCAGACCACCATAGGAGAGGAAGGCAGGAAAGAAAAGATAGTGAGGCCAGATAGCACTTAGGGGACCTTCAGACAGAAAGTTTTTATTAATAAAAAATTCACAGTTTTGTCCAAAAATGCCCCTTTAATGCCTTTTATCTCTTTTATTTATTTATTTATTTATTTATTTATTTATTTATTTATATCTATTTTGGAGGCTAAAATAGACAATCAGGAGAGAAAGGGACTTGGGATATCTTGGCCTCCAAGTGACAAGAATGTCTTCCTTTTTAATTGATGAGATTGATTTTTATAAAAAATCTTAAACAAGATCTATTCTTTATTTATCCTTGGAAAAACCTGAAGGAACTTTTTTTTAGATTAATTTTTTTGCTTACACTTAAATGGACATGCAGGGATGACCAGACAGCCCATTTTATGCATTCATTCATTCATTCATCCATCCATTCATTCATTCATTCATTTTTATGATCTCTCTCTCTCGGAATTGTGTGTTTGAATACCATCTGGGTTACCAGAAAGCAGTTGCTATTGACAATGGGTTCTTTTGCGGTGTCATAAAAAAGGAATTTCAAAGGTCAGGCACAGGGAAAAGATTAAACTAGTGTTAGGATTTGGGTGGGAAATAATACACCCTGGGGGATGTAGCGGGCAAGCAGGCTGTAGCGGCCAGTGCCCCCCAAATCCTGATAATCCTCCACATATTTTCTTGGTTCTCCGTAATGAGAAAGCTGTCATTCGCCCCACTTCCCGATCTCCCCAGGCCCGAGTTGGGCCCTCCTCCTAAACAGTCCCTTTCCTGGACCACGGAGGTTTGCATTCCCTATCCGGTCTGATTCTGTTCTCAGCTGAGCTCTGTCCATGTCGCCATCTTGATTTCTATTGCGCATGTCCAAAATTTGTGCCGCGTCATCTGGTGCATGTGCTTACCTCTCCTTACTCCATTTTTATTTTTACCGTGCTTGTGTCCAGTAGAGAAATTCCTCCCCAAAATCCTGACACCCGGCTACCAGTGTCCCAGAAATATTTTCCTGCCAGCTCCGAGGATTAAGTCTGGAAGTCAGATCTCCTGGACTGTGTGAATGAGTCTGTTAGTGCTATAGTTCCTAGTAAATCAGGCTGCCTAGAATTCTGTGACTTCCTAATGAAGCAGTCCCAGTATCTCATTTAGTTTCCCATTTATTAGACTTCATATTTGATTCAGCTCCTTAGTTTTTTACGCTCAAAGCCAAATCATCTTTGTTCCTTTTCATATTCATAACTATCTACCTACACTAAGATATCTATCTATCCTTCTACCTAAATATTTAAATTCCTCCTACTTTGGGGAAAGAGCTAACAATAAAAAATACCAAAAGACAAGGGGAATCCACCAAGCCCTGAACTTCTTGGAAGACCCATTGCAGAAATAATGCTCCTGCTATCTCACTGGAGGGAAAGAACTGGCTTATCTCTCTTCCTGAAAATGTTCACCTCACTGCAAAAGTCAGTCTGCCCTGGGGCTGAGGGCAGGGTTGGGGAGAAGGGCTCTCTACACTGTTGTTAAGAAACCCAGCATTTTTACTTCTCATACTTATAAATAATGACTTTTAAAAGCAGGGCCAACAGAGACTGAATTGCAATTCAATTTCAATGGAATATATTTACTACAGAAAAGTGAAAACAACTAGGCTGCAAGCTTTATAGAGGTATTTATTTTTAAATTAGCTAAAATTTAAAGAAAGTTGTAGTTTTGTTATTGTTATTTTATTTCTCAAAGCAAGGATAATAATGTTGAAAGTAAACTAGTATGTATACCTAAAATTACTTATTTCAGTCACAGTGAGAGGCCAACAAAAAAAGAATAGACAGCACACTTGATCAGTATTTGTGTGCCAGAAATGATGGAAGTTATTGAAAACATCTTGTTTTTAATTTTCACAATTATACATCCAGTAAGTTTCTTCTTTTTTTACAAATAAGAAACTGAGTATTCTGAAATTTAGTTAAGTTGATTGGGGCTAACAGGTAGTAACACCAAAATTAAAATAATAATTTCACCACCACACGCACAACACTCACACACTCACAGAAACACACTGGTCTATCACGGGCAGAACTGGAGTGCCCTTGGTGGTGACACAGATGTATCTGGGATCTGAAACATGAGACTCTGATAGAAACCACCCCATTGTCCCTGTAAGCACAAACCTGTTCATGAGACACCGACACAGCGTATATTTTTAAATAATTAGTAGAGAAAATGTTTGAAACAGTTATATATTTTACACTTAATGGCTTTTTTCTTATCACAATAATCCTATTTCTGGTGTGATTTTTATACCGGGATTATTTTAAGAAAATGAAATCAGCATTCAAGTATCTTACTCATGGTTCACTGTGTGTATTTGGAGAGATGGGCTTGACTTCAGACACTGTGGACACAGAACTCCACTCTTAGGACATATTATTCTTCAAAATTCTCCTTTACACCTTGATGCATAAAGAGCATCATGGGTAAACTGACCCAGCCCTGAGACTCATTGTGTAGTCACTGCCTCCTATACAAGGCCTCTAATCACATACAAAAGTTCTTGAAAAGCTTTCGTTCATCTTGCCATTCAGCAGCAGAGGAAATGAGATTGTAGAAACTGGTAGAGATGTCACCTCCATAAGTGTAATTTTATGAGGCATTAGTCATGTCTTTGGGAGTATAGCTAGAGATGAATTAAGATCTTCTCTTAATGCAACACGATTTTGGGGAAAATAAGACATGAGGCAAATGGTACACCCTCATGATGAATGAAGGATGTTCAAATGGGAAAAAGAGGAGGGGCAACAAGAGAAAGATGAGAGAATGGCTCAGGTAAGCTCAGTTCATGAGATGTATCCAAGGCCAGTGGCACTACATAGAGGTGGTTGAGGGTGTAAGTGATTTAAGAACTTGTAGAGCACAGTATCATGGCACCAGTACAATTCATAAGGTTGAAATATGGAAAACATTTTTAAGAAAAGGAACATGAAGAGAATTTAGAGATGAGAAACCCATGTTTAGTGATGTTTAGAAATGAGACAGTGCCAGCATCATAGTCTAGGAGAAGCCCAACACATTGGGGATGAACAGTTGGAGGAAGGTTAATTTTAAGAAATTAGAGGAGGAAGAGTCCACAAAAGCATTATATTCAAATCAATTCTCTAATCCTATTACCCAGTAGCCATATTTAGGTTGATATCTAGAGTAAACATCATGACAATTGGTACCTTGTCTAACAAAACTTTTCATATTTAAGTCAGGGAGTTTTTTACCACATGCCCCTAAGACCCAGGCATGTTTCTCTGATACATCTACCTCCCAGTGTTGTTTCTCTGATATAATAAATGGTGATCCCAGGACACCAAATGTAACATAGTCATCGTGATTAGACAGATTATGTAATAGCCAATCACAGGCACATCTCATTTCGATTCCGTAGAAATGACAACCTTTGATTTTTCTTCAGGAGGATCCAGGGTCACATGAACTGTAAGAAAATTACAGGGTGGGGTGAGTGATATGACATACCTTTATTTGTGACTTTGTAAGGGAGATAGTGAAAGTAATGGGAATGGCTGTTGGGAGAAACAGTTCAGTTCTTGGGGAGAAGTATAACATTGAAGAATATTACATATATGTGTGTTGGGAAGAAAAACATGGGTCTTAAGACATGAGACGTAGCCTGGGTCAGGTAGCTCAGTTAGTTAGAGCACGGCTCTGATGGGCCCAGGTTTCAGGTTCCATCTCCTGTCAGTACTCATACAAGAAGCAACCAAGGAATGCATTAATAAATGGAGCAACAAATTAATATTTCTCTGTCTCTGCCCCTGTCCCTGTCTCTGTCTCTCTCTCTTTCTGTCTCCCCCCAGCTCTCTCTCTCTAAAAAATCAATTTAAAAATTTTAAAAAAGAACACATGACCTAGTAGAAAATGCAAAATATTTTAAGAAGATGAAGACAGGGTGGCTTCACGATACTGTGATTTCTCCTTACCTCAGCAGCGGCCCACATATGGCAGTTCTGAAACGATAAAAATCCACAATAGTAAAAATAAGCAAAGGAGTCAGCACTAACATCTATTTCCTCTCCAGATAAGGGGAAAGACTGGGGTCTATGTAAAATATTAGACAGAAGAATGAGAGGTGAACAAGACATCTGGGCACCCCTCATTAACATGACCACAACATCAGCACTTGGCATCCATCCTCTCTCCACTCCCAGAAACTGAACCCTCCTCCCTCTTTAACTCCCACCATCACAAGATCCACAGCCCCCACCAGCTCTGCCATTCCTCACCGTTAAACACGTGCAGCATCCCACTCACATCAGGAGCTTGGAACACTCTTCTTTGATTCTTGGAGAGAATTTTCAGCTCCTTCAGAGAGGTCTTACTCCTAGGGATGACAAAAAATGATCCCCATGTCTCGATATTTTGTCTCTCCAAAATAACTGATTGCTATCTCTTCACTTCATTGAACGCTTCATTCCCTTTCCTTGGACACCTAACAAAGGAAAAAATAGACCTCTGACCTTGAAGCCTGAAGAAACACGGTCATATCTGCTTTCCCTGTTGTCCTCTGTGTAACTTTGGGAAGGCATTGACCTCTCAGAAACAAAATTAATTCTTTCCCAAATAAAATAATCCAACTTTCTCTCTATCTCCTAAAAACTATATGAAATTATATGGAATAATTTATTTTTTTATATGCCTTATTTAGTACCTTAAAACAAATTAATGTCAGGAAAAGTCACTGCGTGAATGTCGATTTCCAGGAATGTGACAGGAAAGTGCGGTTGTACAACCTGACTCGTGGTTGTTGAGACGTATCAAGCATGGGGATACTGTCTGGACAAAACAAGACCTTTAAGTTCTCCACTGTAGGAAGGGCCCCAGAACCACATCTGAGACTTTAGGTTCTCTGGGGAAGAATGTAACATTTGGAAAAAGAGAGATTATAAACACCATATTAAGATAGTCTGAATTGTATATGCATGGCAAAGATTGACGCAAAGAGGTGTACAAAGTTAGAAACAAATATGATGTCCTTCTGTTCTGGCTTAAAAAATACATGACGAAGAGGGATCAATTGTTTGCTCAAAGGATAGATATCTTTTGCAATTCAACTCTGTGTTTGGAAAATAAAGAGAACCATAGAGAAAGGCCTGGCCTCTTCTTTTCTCAGAGCAGAAATTTAAGAATAAAGGAGTAGTTTCCAGTTCTGGGTGCCTGGCAGGTAAAAACACAACCAACCCACAATAGATCAAGCAGCTGTGAAATATGTGAACCTGACTTAGATTCGGCATGCCGGGTGAGAAAAATTCATGGCGTCACATGGGTCTGATACTGCAACGCTTGACCCCTTGTTCTGCTTCTGACCCAAACTCTGCAACTTCCCCCCACCCAAATTCCCTACTATGGAATGTGGTTCATTCTTAATAGTTACAGAATCCTCAAGTGATGGTATGGGAACAGAAATTTAAGATAAATCTACACCCACATTTTTTTCTGCCCTGAACAATATTTTATTCTAATTCACCACCAGATAAATCTAATGGCTTTAAATCTTTTTTCACAGCACAAGGACCATCTCTGGTCTCCCACAGATATCTCTCCATGATGCTATTCACTTCCTAGGGAGAAAAGAGAAAACACAAGTAAAGACATAATAAGCCTCCTCACTTCCAAAGCTTCATCACATCCCCACCACCCCCTGAGGTGGTGAGAATAGAGGTGGTCTGATTATGAGGGCAAAAAAGTAAAGAAAAAGTCCAGGTCATTCGAGAAGACTTATATGAAGTTGTCAAGTTTTCTCAAAGGTAGAAACAGTTCGACCCTTGTGGAAGCACAGTGTGAGCTCCTGGTACCAGGAAATGAGACATATTTATGAGGAAAGCATGAAGCCCATAATGTTTATCCCCAAGTTCATAAAACTCCTCTTGAGATGATTTAAATAATTCATGGTTTGTTCATTCATTCAACCTAAAAACAAAATGATATACTGTTACTTGAAATGCATTCTGCCAGGCTGGGAGAATCAAAGATGAGTAAAGAATCATAATATCCCTCCACGAGTTCACGTAGCTTCTGCTGAAGGTACAAGCAAACACATGTATTCAGGTAGGCATTGCTCAAGTTTTTCTTCTTAATTTAGCAACTATCTATATTTTACCTCCTCAACTCTTTTAAATTCAGCACACATATATGTGTAATTGATTTCCAAGTTTTAGTTTTATTCAATTTTGTCTTTTAAATGTAGGATAATATGTTCCCTGGTAAAGAAGTTACAGAAACCAGTAAATTAGTATGTCTCATATTTAACTTATCTTCAACAAATTGTCCCCTCTCTTATACCCCTATTTCTTAAAGTTACCAATACCCATGCAGTAAATGTCCCATAAACTATGATATTTACCTGCACTTCAGTCTCTACCAAGCCCTTATAGTCTATACCATTAACAACTTTTAGTCATCTTATCTTCTTTGTCATTACAGACTTATTTGTTTGAACAGAGAGGTGCCAATATATTCAGTCTCCTTTACCTCAGATCTACTTCCACCATTTCCCCAAAAACTAGGCCAACAGATGGATTTACACATGAAATTAATGAGTGAATAAATCCATACAGAAACAAAAAAAACAATTGCAGTACTTTCTTTCTTAGCGCTTCTTTATTCTATATAACAAAAGCAAGTAAAGCTAGATTAAGTAGAGAAAAGGAAGTTAGGGGCAGTTGTAACTTGATGAAAGCTTAATTTGGAAGTTCAAACATGCCATGGGACTCTGTCTTTTGTCATTCCCCATGAATTGTTTTCTCCATTTTGAATTTATCCTCAGTTCATGAAGGAAGCCTGAATTTTCTTATATAAACCCCAGAAACAAAGAGAACTTCTTATCCCAGGGATACCAAAACATTCTGAGGCCTGCATGGCAGTGGCCTGCTTTAAATCAGGTGCCCGTATTAAAGCATCACCGTGCTGTTGCTAGAAGAATATGCAACAATGTGAGAGACACTTTCATATTTTACTGGAATTAATTTAGCATGAATCTGTTGTAGATTGTCACAAAACAAGATGCATTTTGTAATTAGAAGTGCAGCCACCAAAAGAAAATCTAAAAAATACAGGAAGAAAGTAGGAAACCTTAAAATTTTCTAAGGGAAATATTTAACTTAAGAGAAGCTAATCAAGGAGAAAGAGAGCGATGAAACTGCATATGACATGTAAAAACAAATAACACACTGATAAATTTAAATAGAGCTACAAAATAATTGCATTGATGTTGTTGTTATAATCTACCAATTAAAAACAGATTGTTGGATTAAATAAAAAGCAAGATTCCATTATTGCTATATTCGAAGCACATTTTTAGATTCAGGACAAAAACACAGCAAAAGTATAAAATTTTTTAAAAATATACCATGCAAACACAAATCATAACTCAAATATCCATATTAACATTAGACAAAATAACTTTAAGACCACAATTATTAGGAAAGAATAAAAGAAACTTCATAATGAAAAAAGGTTCAGTACAGCAAGAAGATGTAACAACGATACAGCCATAAGCACCTAACAGAAGAGCTTCAAAATACACAAAGTGAAATACAAAGTATTAAAAAGATAATTAGACAATTCAGTGATAATTTCTGGAGGTTTTAATAACTGATGGAACAGCCTTATGAAAAGTACTAATGACATAGATGATATGATTGATATCACCAACTCATTTAATTGACATCTATAGACCATTGCATCCAATGAATGCACAAAGCACATTCTTTTCATATGCATATAAAAAATTTTAGAAATATGCCCTGGCTGGTGTGGCTATGTGGACTGAGCGTCGGCCTGTGAACCAAAGGGTCGCTGGTTCGATTGCCAGTCTAGGGCACATGCCTGGGTTGCTGGACCAAGTTCCCGGTTAGGGGTACATGAGAGGCAACCACATGGGGATGTACTCTCCCTCTCTTTCTCCCTCCCTTCCTGTCTCCAAAAATAAATAGATAAAATTTAAAAAATATTTTGGACATACAATATTTTAGACAATAAACAAGTGTCAAAACATTCAAAAGATTGAGATAATAAAATATGTGTTTGACCACAAAGGAATTAAATATACAGCAGAAGAAAAAGTAAAAAATCACAGTAGCTATTTTCAAAATCAGTATTTTAAATTAAACAACATATTTTCATATTACAAGAGTTAACAAAAATAACAGAAAATGTGAGGAACCACAGGGTCAATGTAAAAGACACTGAATAGCTGTAATAATCTTGAAAGAGGACAAAGTTGGAGGTTTCACACTACCTAGTACCAAACTATTCTGCAAAGCTGTAGTAATCAAAACAACATGGTACTGGTATGAAAACAGACATGTAGACCAATGAAACAGAATATAAACTCAGAAACAAACCCACATCTATGTAGTTAATTAATGTATGATAAAGAAGGCAAGAACATACAATGGGGAAAATACTGTATATTTAAAAATAGTGTTGGGGAAATTAGATACATACAAAATGAAAGTAGACCACCTTCTTATGAAACATACAAGAATTAACTCAAAATGAATTATAGACACAAATATAAGACTCAAAACCATAAAAATACAGAAGAAATTATAGGCATTAAACTCTGACATTTTTCTTAGTATTATATTTTCTGATGTAGCTCCTCAAACAAGGGAAACAAAACAAAAAATAAACAAATGGGACTATATCAACAAAACAAAGACAGCCTACTAAATGGAACAAGATATCACCAATGACATATCCAATAGGGGGTTAATATCCCAAATTTATGAAGAAATTGCACATTCAACAACCAAAATAAATCCTATTAAAAAATGGTCAGAGGAACTAAATAGATCTTTCTCCCAACAGGATGTACAGGCGGTCTGTGGACATATGAAAAGATACTCGATATCATTGATCATCAGAGACATGCAAATGTGGACTACAGTGAGCTATCACTTCACACTTGGCAGACTAGCTATCATCAGTAAATGAACAATCAGGTGCTGGCAAGAATGTGGAGAAAAGGGAACGCCTGTGCACTGTGTAGGGAATGCAGATTGAGGTAGCAACATTGGAAAACAGTGTGGAGGAGCATCTTCAAAAAATTATAAAGTAGAACTACCTTGTGACCCAGAAATTCTACACCTGGGTCTTTATCCAAAGGAATCTAAAACACCAAGTCAAATGAATACATATACTCCCGCATTCATTGTAGCATTATTAAAAATAGCCGAGTTATGGAAGCAATTCAAGTATCCATCAAGATGACTGAATAAAGAAGACATGTATTTATATACAATATAATATTACTCAGTCCTAAAACGAAGAGTGAAATTTCACTATTTGTTTTATTATTTCTCTATGTGTGACAACATGGAGGGGACAAGAGTGCATTATGCTAAAAGAAATAAGTTAGTCAGAGTAAAGCAAACACCAAATGATTTTACTTATATGTGGAAACTAAAGAAGAAAATAAATGAACAAACAATACAGAAATAGACTCATTGATACAGAAAAAAATGAAGGATTGCCTATGGGAGTGGGGGTGAGGGGCTTAGTGAAAAAAGTGATGGGATTAAGAAGTACAAATTGATATTTACAAATTGTCATGGGATGTAAAAGCCAGCACAGTGAATACAGTAATAATATTTAATACCTCTATATGATGTCAGGGGTACTAGATTTTGGGAGGGATACTTCATAATTATATAAATATCTGACAATTGTGTTGTACACCTGAAACTAATATAAAATAATATTGAATGTAAACTATAATTGAAACATTTTTTAAAAAGAAATTTGAAAATAAGATGACTTGAATGAAAATAATATCTAATCCAAATGCAAAAGATAAAACTAAAGCAATGAATGTATATCATTAAATATATAATCAGTTATCCAGGTATCCACTTTAAGAAAATAAGAGCAACAAAGGAAACCCTACATATACAGACACACACATACTCATGCATGCATGAACACATATAGATAAACACGCAAAGGAAACAATAAAAATAGAGCAGAAATAAATGATATAAGATTAGATAAAGCAATAAAACAATAACATTATTCTTGCAGAAAATCAATAAAATTGACGAAATATAACTAGACAGACCAAGAAATACAGAAAAAAAAGCATATTGCTAAATCAGGAATAACTGCGGGAAAATTACTGTGAAGGTTACACAGTATAAAAGGATTCTAAGGCATTATAATAACTACTTTCATATTTATAAATCAAACAATTTAGATTAGACAACATTCTACAAAGAACTGCATTACTAAACACTGATTCAAGAAATGTAAAATATCTAAATAAATGAAATACTGGCAAATATATACTAGTAAATATGTATGTGTTTATAGTAAATATATATTTACTATATATACATATATATTCAGAAAAGAAAAGGCCACCATGAGAATGGCTTTACTGATGAATTCTATTGAATAATTAAAAACATAAATAATACTTGTCCTTCACAATTGTTTATTAAGAAAATAGAGAAAGACCAGGAAAGTCTGAACGCATTCTGTGAGAAAAAAATACTTTTGGACTTAAAAGTTTGTTTGTTTGCTTTTGAATAAGCTGGATCATGAAGAATATCTGAAAAATGTTCTAGTGTGGAACACAAATACAGAGGTCTACAGAATATAATTGGATACAATGGATCTTTCCTCCACAATCCAATTTTTGCATTGCACTTGATACTTAATAAAAATGAGATTTTCTCTTGCTTTTCATACACTCAGTAATTCCTATAACCTCTGAAAGAGAGGCAGGAAAAGTTACCTGCAAGACCATGGGACCCCAGCGTCACCACCAGAAACAGCACAGCCACACAGCAGAGCAGGGGATTTAGTCTTCATTTTCCCAAGTTCACGTGCTGGGGATTCTTCTCAGGACTTCCATGCAGAATCTTCCTCATTGACCCCTGCAACCGATGCTCCAGATCTGAGATGAGATCTTTCAACAACTGGCTCTCCTAGACCAGCTCACTTTCAGTCTGTCCCAGGACACAGAGAATATCTCCCTCCTCCTTCTCCAGCTTTTGCAGCCCCTTCTGCTCTTCAGGGTCCAAGATGCCTTTCAGTGGTTTAAAACAATCCTGGATACTTTGGATATCATTTTCTATTTGATCCTTCAGGAAATAACAAAAGAGAGAGAGGGGGACTCAGTCTATCAGGCAGAGGCTGGGGGCCAGGAAAAGAAATATTTGATTTGCAAGTTCTCACAGGGAAGGGAGATGGAAGCAAGGGAGCAATTCTTGGGGAGGCTTATTTTCTCTTCATCACATTCCAAAATAATGGCTTCCAGTCTGCATTACCAAGGCCAGCCCTGAATCAAAATGGGCCACCTGGATGTGGTTCGGCTTTTACACGGCTGCTGAGGGCAGTCATGCCTCCCTGCATTACTCTGGACCCCACCCCCACTCTCTGCCTAACATTGGCCACTGAGAACAGAGCCATTGGCCAACGCCTACCCCCAGAACAGTCAAAGAGTCAAAATACAACAGGAATGGAATGCAGAATTTGCAAGCCAACCTCAGAAGAGAGTCTTTCTGAGATTTTCTCCCTCCAAATATTTATATTCATTTGTGATGTGTTCGTAATACAGCCCAGCCCCAACAAAGAGAAGATAAGTGGATCAGGTAAATGACATTTGGACACATCAACTGTCAGGGAGCAGAGAGAAAGGGAGCTTCCTGTGACTAACACCCAGAGTCCTGCTCATATTCCTGTCTATCTCCCACAGGTAGTGTTTCCTCCTGCCCTACAGGAAGATATCTCTTCCCTGAAGTCAGCTTCCAACTTCCCAGCATTCTGTTGCTGCTTCCTCAGCTTGTCCAGAGCTTTCTGGAGCTTCTCCTGTGGAAGAGGAATCACACACCATAGTCAAGCTATGGGCTTTCCTAGCATCTGGAGAGAGAAAAATGTTGAAGAATCAGGTTGATCTCCAAGGGTCCAGAGCTTTCAGAAACCGTGAGCACAATAATTGAAAGAAAACCTGAGGTGGTCATCGTGTTCTTAAAGATCCCTCTCTGCCTGTCACTTTTTCTCTCTCAGGTCAATTTAAAAATTTAAAAATAATTAATAATAAGAAGAAGTCAGCATTCCCATATTAGGAGAAGACGAATTCTCTTTTTTCCCGAAGAAGTAACCTGATCCCGTAGCATGATAGAAACTTATGTGTAAAAATGGGCAAAGGACCTGAATAGACACTTCTCCAAACAAAACATACAGATAACCCATAGAGATATGAAAAACTGTTCAACATTGTTAATCATCAGATAGATGCAAGTTAAAACCACAATGAGCTATCACCTCACACCTGCCAGAAAGGTTACCATCAATAAATCCACAAAGAAGTGCTGGAGAGAACATGGAGAAAAGGGAATCCTAGTGCATGTTGGGTGGGAATGCAGACTGGTGCAGCCACTGTGGGAAGCAGTATGGAGGTTCTTCAAAAAAATAAAAATCGAACTGCTTTTTGACCCAGAAATTTCACTCCGGGGAATATATCCTAGGAATCCTGAAACCCTGATTCCAAAGAATATCTGCATCCCAATGTTCACAGCAGCATTGTTTACAATAACCAAGATCTGGAAGCAGCCTAAGTGACCATCAAAAGGTGAGTGGATAAACAAGATGTGGTACATTTCCACGGTAGAATACTACCCCACAGTAAAAATCAAGGAACTCTTGGCTTTTGTAACAGCACGGATGGACCTGGAAACTACTGGGCTAAGTGAAATAAGCCAGTCCGTGAAAGACAATACCAAATGATCTCACTCATATGGGGAATCTGATGAACAAAATAGAAATAGAGGCATGGATACATGGAACAGACTGATAGCTGTCAGAGGAGAGAGGGAGAAGGGAGGAAGGACTGGATGAAAGAAAATGTGAAGGGATTAGCCAAAGAACATGTATGCATGACATATATGCAAAGAACATATATGCATATATGCAAGGTATGGGGATTGCCTGAGAGAAGGATGAAGGTTGGCAAAGGGAGAAAAGGTGGGAACAAATGGGATAGCGTGAACAACAAAATATGATAAAAAAATAAAATCCAGCCCTAGCTGGTGTGGCTCAGTGCACTGAGCGCTGGCCTGAAAACCAAAGGCTCCAGGTGCTGGTCAGATTCCCAGGGGAGGGAACAGGCCTGAGTGGCAGGCCAAGTCCCCAGCAGGGGGCGCATGAGAGGCAACCACACTTTGATGTTTTTCTCCTCCTCTTTCTCCCTCCCTTCCCCTCTCTAAATAAATAAGTAAAATCTTAAAGAAAAAAAACACAAAACCCATAGGTCTGAATCCACCCAGTTCCCCAGTTCATGCTCCTGCTCAAAGGAGCTTTGTTTGGGCACCAAACATCCATTTATTAGCACAAGACCCAAAATATCTACTCTTGGTTAAGAGTCTAGGCTGAATTATGCTAGTCTTTTCCTTTTGTAATTCTTTGGAAGGCACATAAATATCCTTCAGGCATCATTAGGTGAGCTGAGGAAGAAAGATCACAAAACTCAGGGCTACGATGACAAATTATGGTGGAATGCAAAATGAAGGTTTTCCACCAAGAACAATTTTCTGACTCATCTTTTCCTCATCCTTGTCTCTTACCTGGTCCTCCAGGGCAACCTCTTCAGCAGGAAATGTGTGGTGACCATGGTGCTCCTGAGACCGCTTGCACAACAAAGCACCTGGATGCTCTTAGGGACAAAGCAATTCTAAGAAGAATAATTGTCCCACATCCTGCTCCAGGGAGACAGATGAGTTCCCCGAACTAGGTGGGTACATAGCACAGCAGAGGGAAGTACAGGCTGTGGGTGCTGAGATGAAGAACAGACCTAAGTTTGGGCAGTGCAGACCAGAGACTTCCCAGCATCATTAAGCTGAATTAAAGGTCACCAAGGTGCCATATTGATGAGTGCAGGTCATGTGTTTATTCTAATGAAGATCTCAGGTCCCCAAATGAAGAAACTTATGATCACCATGGGGTGACTGCCTGACATACCCACACATTCATTGTCCTCAGATGGTCCTACAGGTTGAAGTTGCCTTATGTCTCAAGTTCACCCAAACTTTCCCTTGTGGCTACGCATCTGCTTCAGTGTAGTTCCTGCACATTCCAGGGCCCCCAAAATTCAAGAAGGCATGATCGCTACTGGGAGGTTTAAGAGTTCTGGCAGAGAAAGCCTTAGAACTCATTTACAGAGAGCAAATGTACACCTGGTACCCAGGGAACTTTTGACCTTACGAAATTTTCTCTTGACAGTTTACTGAGAGGAGAGAGCATGAAGGAAAGCAATGAAGTTTCATATTCTTCTCAGCAGAGGGCTCCGTTCTAGCACCAGGAGCCTCTGCTAGAATGTGCAGATCTTTTCTGTGGCATATGAAAGTTCAGGTCTTTCCTTGTGACTAGTTGCTTCATCCTGATTTGGGCATTCCAAGAAATGAAAAGACATGAATGTCCTTGGAGAGTCATTTGTCCATAATTCGAGTGCAGATTATTTCTAGTGAGTCAGAGCTTCAGTCAAAATAGCAGTGGGGTGACAGGAAGGCAGCGATACATAGAAAAATTTAGAGATTAATTTCCCCCACATTCCATGGATGAACACTAACATGTGCAAACATACAAAGATACTGGCAATTTCAAGGTGGGAATCCTTTGCTCATTAGAAGTCATCTAAAGTAAGAAAGTTGGGAATTCCTAGAGACAATCAGGACTGAGAAGTCAATACTTGAGCAAAAAGCATGTTTTTTTAGCTCTGAACTATATTGAGGAAGAGTTGGAAGTAAAAATGCAGAAAGACTTTGGGATCCCAGCAAGTCCTGAATGAATATATTGCCCTCCCACCTCGTTGGAAGGAGAAACAGCTTTTCTCTTTCTTCTCAAGAAATTTCAATTCAGTGAAAACGTAGGGCTGACCTGGGCAACAAAACACTTCCAGGCGTCGTTGCAAAAAAAACTCCAAAATTCTACATCTGACTCATTGTATCATTGTGAATAATAAGTTTTTAAAACTGAGCAAACAGAGCTAATATATAAATTCAATTTCAGTGAAACAGGATTATGCAGGAAAAAAATTGAAAAACAAACTAGATAGCTAAAAATGGTAGAAACATTTATTTTACAAAATCTAAATATTGAAGGAAATCACAACTTTTTCATCAAGGTATTTTATTTATTAAAACAAAGCAAGGGTAATAATGTTGAAAACAAATTAATATGTATTTTAAACCATTTATTTCAGGCACAGTGAGAGGCAGCCAAAAAATGGAGAGGATAATTTATCATTCCTTTCGTGGTAAAAATGACAAAAGTTACTGAATATGCATCAGGTAAATTTTGTTATGTTTTACAAATGGGAAACTGAATAATTCCATAGAATTGATTTGAGGTAGATTACTTGATCAAGGCCATTATGTAGCAAACCAGAATTAACTAAAATTCTCCCTCTCTCACACATACACACACATTTATCACAGGCATAACTCGAGTAGTCCTGACAGCAAGACAGAGGCATCTGGCATCTGCAAATAAGACTTCAGTAAAAACCACTCTAGTGCCTCTGAAGGCACAACGTGTTTTATGAGACACTGACACAGCTTATATTTCTCAGTAATTAGTAGAGAAAATATTTATTAGGTTGAGACACAATTTTATACCTAATGATGTTTTCCTACTCTCAATGGTTCCAACGATTCTCAATGGTGTGTTTTTTATACCAGGACAATTTTTAGTAAACGAAGCCAGCATTTTACTACCTTTTGAAAGTTACGCTGCACCTATGTTGAGAGAATGGACTTGAACTCAGATACTTTGAACACAAACCTTCCACTTAATATCTATTATTTATGATATTACCCCCTTCACTCTTTGATGAATATGGAATGTGATTGGACTGACACACCCCTGAAGACTTATTTATAATGAGTGATTCCTATAAAAGACATTGCATAATATACAAAAGAAGTTGTTGAAAAGTTTTCCTTATTCTTCTCAGTTGCACAGGAAATGAAATTGTAAAAATTTAGTATAGATGTCACCTCCATACAAGTCTTTTCTGTGAGACACTAGTCCCTTTCTTTGGGGTGATAAAAAAATAGTGAATTAAGATTCTTTACTAATACAAACAAGACATTGGAAAAAATGTGCTTGACATAAGGCAAACTGTAAGCCCTAATGCTGAATAAGGATGTTGAAATGAAAAAAAGAGGGGGGTAACAATAAAAAGTTGGTGAGAATGGTGCAGACAAGCTCAATGCATTAGCTGCACCCAAGGCCAGACGCATGAAAAACAAGTGGGTGAGGGTCTGAGATTTAAGAGCTTGGAGAACACAGTGTCATGGGGGCAGTACACTTCATAGGACTCAAATATGGATAAATTTTCTGAGAAAAGGAACATGAAGAGAATTTATAGATGAGAAACCCATGGTTTGTGACATTATAAAATGAAACAGTGCCACCATCGTAGTCGAGGAAAACCCCAACACGACGGGGAGGAACAGTCAGGCAGAGGGTTAATTGCAAGGGACTAGAGGGAGAAGATTCCACAAAAGCTTTATATTTAAACTGATTCACTAACCCAATAACCCAATAGCCATTTTTAGGTCGATAACTAGAGGTAACAGGATTTTTTTCACCATATACCCCCAAGATCCAGGCCTGTTTCTCTGACACATCCACCTCCCAGTAATGCTTCCCTGAGGTGATAACCGGTACGCCAAGAACAGCAGAATCATTCTTATTTGTATCAAAATGGAACTCATATCTCACTTGTTTCAGATCCGCAGAAACGGCAACATTTCGGTTGTCATTGGGAGGGTGCAGGGTAATGTGAGCTGTAGAAAAATTACAGAGTTTATTTGTGATATTATTGTGGGATCTTTAGAATACCATGAATAGAAACTGGGAAGAACTCAGTTCTATTCTTGGTAATAGGTCTACCACTGCTGAAGCATAATATATATATGTGCATGTTGGAAAGGAATTGTAGATCTTAAAACAAGAGGCATAATAGAAAACACAAAATTAGGAAAGAAGATGAGGACGGGGCTTTACGATACTGTGACTTCTCCTTACCCCAATAGCGGCGCACATCTGTCAGCTCTGAAATGATAAAAATCCATAATATTAAATATAAGCAAAGGAGTCAGCACTACAATGTATTTACTCTCCAATCAGGGAAAACTGGGGAAATATGTGAGGCAGTAAGCAGACGAATGAGGTGAACAAGACAGCTGGTCACTCCCCATTAACTATGACTACATCATCAGCACATGACATCCATCCTCCTTTGTCGCCTCTGTCCGCACCCAGAAACTGAACCCTCCTCCCTCTTTAACTCCCAGCACCACAAGAACCTCTAGCATTTCTCACCATTATGCACTTGTAGGATTGCTCTCAGGTCAGGAGGTTGGAACACTCTCCTTTCTTTCTTAGACACGGTTTTTGGCTTCCTGAGAGTGAAGGTCTTACTCCTGAGGATGACAAAAAAAGATCCCCACACTCTGACTTTTTGTCTCTCCGCAACTACTGATTTCATCTATTCGTACCATTAAAAACATTAGAGCCTCTTTCCATGGACCCCTGAGAAAGGAGAGAGCAGGCTCCTCACCTTGGAGCCAAAGGAATGTGCTCATGTCCAAATTTACAGTACACGCTCTGCGATCTCAGGAAGGCCTCGACCTCTCAGAAGCACAGTGAATTCTTTCCAAAATAAAAACTAATCTACACCTCTCTTACCTCTTGGAATCATGTAAAATTACATGAAATAAATATTTTTTTAAAAAGGGCATTTTGGTTCCTTAAAACAAAATATTATGAGTGGGAAACTCACTGAATGGATGGGGAGAGATAGTACATGAAAGTGAGGTTGCAGAACCTGGCTCCTAGTTGTTTGAGATACATCACTGTCAAGTGAGGGGATACTGTCTGGAGGGGATCAGACATTAAAGTCTGCTTCCCAGGAGGGAGGCCCTCAGAATAACATCTGAGATTTAAGGTTCTCTGGGAAAAATTGTTATGTTTGGAAAAGAAGACATTATGTAGTGGTCAGCATTTTATGTTTGAAGAGCTTGTTGCATGCATGTGGGTGTGCACATTTAGACACAAGGACGCTGTCCTTTCATTCTGGCTTCAAAGTGCATGGTCAAGAGGGATCAATTGCACTTGGGCAAAAATATTCTTTGGGATTCAAATCTGTGTTTTGAAAAACAAAGAGAACTCTATGGAAGGGGCCTAGTTACTTCATTCCCAAAAGAGAAATTGAAAGAGTCCTCTCCAATTCTAGGTGCTTGGCAGGTAAAGAAGACACAACCTACCCACAATAGATCAAACAGCTCTGAAATATGGGAACCAGGCATGCTGGCTAAATAAAATTTATGAAGTCACATGGGTCTGATACTGCAACATCTTATCCCTAAGAGCTGCTGACCCAAACTCTGTAACTCCCCCCCACACAACCTAAATTCCCCACTACAGAAACTGGTCTGTTCTCAATAGTTAGAGGACACTCAAACCATGACATGTGAAGATAAATTTAAGATAAGGCAACACCCAAATTTTCCTGCCCTCAGCAATATTTTGTTATAATTAATTATCCACCAGAAACTTTAAAGCTTTAAACCGCTTTTCACAGCACAAAAGAACCATCTCTGGTCTCCCACACATACCTTTCCATGATGCCATTTACATCCTAAGGAGAAAAGAGAAAACATGAGTAAAGAAGTAATAAGCCTCCTCACTTCCAAAGCTTCATCACATCCCTAACACCCCCTGAAGTGGTGGGTATAGAGAAGGTCACAATGTGAGATCCAAAAAGAAAAGAAAAAGCCCAGGTCAATCATTCAATAAGACTCATGTGAAGTTTTCAGGTTTCCTAAAAGGTAGAAAAAACTTTCATCTTGGGGAAGCACAGCATGAGGCTTCCACTAACTGGACATGAGGTATATTTAGGAGGAAAACATCATGCCCATGATATTTTCTCCATGTTCTTAAGGCTGCTCAGGAAATGATTTGAATAACTCATGGCTTGTTCATTTAGTCAACATGAGTGTAATGTGATGTACTATTACTTGTCAAGCATTATGCCATAATTGGGAGAATCAAAGATGAGCAGTTACAGTATTTCTCAAGAAGTTTACATGACTTCCACTGAGGGTACAAGAAACAAATCTATTAATGTAGGCTTTTCTCAAGTCTCTCCTCATGTGATACACTATCTATAATTGACCTCATGCACTCCTGAAGTTCGACATGTCTAATTGATTTTCAATTTTTTTTTTACTCAGTTTTGTCTTTTGAATGCAGGTTAATATATTCCCTAGGAAAGAAGCTACAGGAACGGGTAACTTAGGATACTTCATATATAACTTACTTTTCACCTAACGGTCTCCTCCCTTATACCTCGTCGTCCATGTAACCACTATCCACTCAGTTACTGCCCTCAACACTACAATATTTACCTGCATTTCATTCTCTTCCAAGCCAATTTATTCCACAGTGTTAGCAGTTGTTAGTCATCTCAACTTCTTTATCACCATAGATTTATTTTGTTGAAAACATATGTACCAACATATTTGATCTCCCCTATCTCAGAATAACCTCTCCCATGATGCCAAAAACTAGGCAAACTGCTGGGTTTACACACGCACAATTGCTTTGCTCTCTGTATTAGGGCTTTGTTGCTTTATGATGAAAAACAAAGTGTATGAAGGACAGAAAAAGAATTTGGAGGATAGTTTTAATTTTAATCAAAGTTAAATTTTGAAGCTCACACATGGCCATCAGGATCTGGACTATGTTGTGCTTCAAATTCTCTTCATGCTGTCTGTATTGACTTTCTCAGCAGTTCATTAAGAAAACATTAATCTCCATCCATAAATTCCATAAAAAAAGAGAACTTGTCTTTCCGGTTATATCAAACAATTCTGAGGCCCGCATGGCACTGGCTTACGTTGGATCAAGTGCCCCTATCAAGGCATTATCGTGTTGTTGCTCTAATATAAACAGCAATGTTGGAGACAACTTATTTATATTTTACTGAAATTAATTTAGTATTAATCTGAAGCAGACCATGATAAAACAGGATGCATATTGTGTTCAGCAGAGAAACTACCACAGAAATAGAAACTAGTAGCACTTTATATTTTATACTAAAAGTATCTGCTTAAGTCAAAAGAAGGTTGTCAATGAGAAAGAGAACAATGAAAATTGCAGGCAACAGAGAAGCAAATAACAACATAGATTAAATATAGCTACATGGGGATTGCATTAAATGTCTTTGTCTTAATCCACCAAAAAAAGAGAGGTTTTGGACTAGATGAAAAACGATTTCAAAATTGCTAGCGACATGAGAAATATTTTGTATTCAAAGACACAAATATGGCAAAAGTTAGTTGATAGAATTCTGCTCAAAACGGTGGAGTACGTAAATGCTGTGTCTGTCTCCTCCAACAACGATATGAAAATTATAACTAAATTACAGAATAACCACCCCTGAGAACCACATGAAGATGAGCTGAACAGAAATCTTATTACTAAGGATATAAAGAAGAAGCCGCCTTGAGACTGGTAAGAGGGGCTGAGACAAAACTGGTTGGTACCACATCCTTCTGCGGAAGTTACAAAATAGTAGGAATATCTTGGGTGCAGAGGGACCACCTGAGAATAGAGAAGTTCCAGTACCACATTCAGATCCTCAGCAAAAGTACCAGTTTTGGGAAGAGGAGTCCCCACAATATCTGCCTGTGAAAACCAGCCCAGGTGGGATGAAGGGCTACTGAAAAACCTGGCATCATCTAAAGAGCCCTAGTACAGAGTCACTCCCTCACAAACACTTGTCCTAAGATCCAGAGAAGAGACAGAACCTTGCAAAGCACCAGAGACACATAGAGAGAAACTGAACTGTCTGGCTTCAGGTGGAAGGGGTATGGCAACTCTCCCAGGGACTAAAGTGCCAGCAGGCCCCATTGTTCTCTTGTGGAGCCCTGTGTATACACAGCCAGCGGCACAGGCCAGGGACAAATCTGAGCCTCCATTAACAAGGCTAACACCACTCTTCCTGCATCCTGGTGATTCTCTGAGACCCCACTGCACCCAATTCAAGCCCCTGACCGAATCTCTTTCAGAGGGTAAGGCACACAAGCAGCTGGCCTGCCAGCCCATGCTGCAAGTTTTCCTAAAGTCTCTCAAGTTCCACAAACCCCACACAAGCAGTGGCTGGCCTTCGTGTGAGCTTTCCCTCTTGCTAAGCGGCCCCAGGCTGGCAGTTGTGGCAGCTGATCCTGGTGAACAGCACAGCATCTCCAAGGCACCTCCATGCCCAGCACAGGCAACCCCAACCGCAGGTCACTTTGTGGCTCCTACTTGGTGGTGCTCTGACAGACAAAGGAAGTGGCTAAATTGGGCTTATACCAGAGCCCCTCCCAAGGGGCCACAGAGCCAATGCACCTGGTGGTCAGTTTCAGACCTTGCCAGAGTACCTCAAAGTTAACGCCACAAATGACACACCCAAAGGGTGGACACGGCAGGCACAAGAGTCCCACTAAAGTGAATCCCACTCCATGGAGTCAGTTTCTTCACTGTAGTCAACGCCATTCCTTACAGCCACTCAGCCTGAGGGTCAATCCCAGCCATGTGTGCCAACAGTAATGAAGACTCAACTACAGCAGGAGAACACACACAACCCACATTCATGTGAAAAATGGCAAAGGATACTCTTACATAAGGCCACTCAGCCAAGACTGGGAGACAGGGCAGATACACTTAATACATAGAAATTAACATAGGGAGGCAGTCAAAATGAGAAGAAAAAGAAACATGTCACAAATAAAAAATCAGGATAAAACTTCAGAAAAAAGAAGTATTTGATTTGGAAGTTCTCACAGGGAAAAGAGATGGAAGCAGGAGAGCAATTTTGGGGCAGGCTGATTTTTCTGATTATTTTCTCTTCAACACACTTCAGAATAAACAAAATGGATACAAGTAATCCACTAGATACAGAATTGTAAATACTGGTTATGAGGAGGCTCACAGGACTTAGGGAAAGAATAGATGATCTCAACGAGAACTTCAACAAAGAGACAGGAAACATAATGAAGTGGATAGAAATTATGAAAAAAGACCAAGTGAGGAATGAAGAATGCAGAGAGAGAACCTGAAAAGCAGCAAAGGAAAAGCAGTTGGTTACCTTTAAGTTTCCTGTAAAACTATCAGCTGGTTTCTCAACAGAAATTTGCATGCCAGAAGGGACTGGCATTAGTCAAGTGACTAAAAGCAAGGACCTACAACCCAGATTACTCTAGCCAGCAAAGCTATCATTTTGAATTGAAGGAGGCACAAAGAGCTTTCAAGATAGGAAAAAGTTTTGCAATAAATGTTCAAGGGACTTAAGGAGAAGAAAAAAAAGGCATCTATAGACCCTTTCACAGAGTGAATGCACAATACACACTCTTTTCAAATTTATATAAATATTTTTGTATATACAACATTTTAGGTTATAGGAGAAGTGTCAATACATTTTAAAAATAGAAATAATAAATGCTTTTTTGATTAGAAAGGAATTAAATATAAAGTACACAAAAGTCGAATTATAAAATCACTCTGTTTGTAATTAAACAATAGTTTCACAGATACCAAGAGTTGACAAAAACAATCACAAATGAAATTTGAAAAGAAGTTAAACTGAATAAAATAAAAAATAATCCAGAAGTATAGAATACAGCAAAACAATGTATTCATATCATTAGAAATGATAGAAGAAAGATTGTATCAAATCAGTGGTCTAAATTCTCACTTTAAGAAACTGGAAAAATAACAGCAAATAAACACAATACACACATATGAATACACACACTCCTGTATCCATGTGCATATACACAAACACAAAGGAAACAATATAATTAAGAGCAGAAATCAATGATATAGGAAGATTAAAATTAGAAAAATCAATAAAACATTAAAGTTTATTCTTCAAAAACATCAGTAAAATTAACCAAATACAACCATGTCAACCATAAAAATGCAAATAACCTTATAAGAAATAAAAGCGAGGATATTACAGTGAGTACTGTAGAAATGAAAGAGATTCTAAGGGATTATAATGACTAACATCATGTTTACAAATCTGACAACAAAAAATAGACAAATTTTGACAAAGATGTATATTATCAAACTATGACTCAAGAAATGCTAAACCACTTAAGAAAACTTAATACAATTATATATATAATCTTTCCAAAATGAAAGGTCCAGAGTAGGATGATTTCAAGGGTGAATATATTGAATAATTAAGGAATAAATAAAACCAATCTTTCATAATTGCTTATTTAGAAATACAGAAGGAAAAAAATCTCAACTCACTCTACGAGGAAAAAACAAAACCAAAACTCTTGGGTCAAGTGGAGGGATTTGAAAAATGTTCCAGTCTAGATCACAGATATGCAGGCCTATAGAATATAATTGGAAACAATGAATCTTCTCTCCAATCAAATTTTTTACTGCAATTAATACATTAATGAAAACAAGATTTTTCTTATTATTCATGTTTTCAATTATTCCTCTGGCCTCTGAAAAATGTAGGAAAAGTTTACCACAAGACCATAAGAACCTCAGTGTCATCACCAGAAGCAGCACAGCCACACAGCAGACAGAGCAGGAAGTTCAGTCTTCATTTTCATCAAGTTCAGATGCTGGAGCTTCTTCCCAAGTCTTACCTGCAGCATCTTTCTTGGTGACCCCTGCAACCGATGCTCCACATCTGAGATGAGATCTTTCAATAAATGGCTCTGCTGAACCAGCTCACTCTCAGACTGTTCCAGGACACAAAGAATATCTCCTTCCTCCTTCTTCAGCTTTTGCAGCTCCTTCTGCTCTTCAGTGTCCAGGATACCTCTCAGTTCTTTAAAATAATCCTGGACACTATGGATTGCATTTTGTATTTCATTCTTCAGGAATGAGAAAGACAGAGAGGGACTCAGGCTATCAGGCAGAGACTGAGAGCCAAAAAACAAATATTTGATTTGGAAGTTCTCACTGGGAAGGGATATGGAAGCAGGAGAGCAATTCCTGGGGAGGTTGCTTTTTCCTATTATTTTCTCTCCATCACATTCCAAAATAATGGCCTCAACTCTGAATTATTGAAGCCAACACTGAAGCAAAATAGGACACCTGGGTGTGGCTCAGCTCTCATACATGCTGCCAAGGACTGTCATGCCTCCTGACCCCCACACCCACCCTCAGCCTAACTTTGAGCACTGTGGGACAGAGCCATGAATCATTGGAGGAGTTCCCCTGGAAGAGTTCAAGGCTCAAAATAATGATAGCAATGAACACAGAATTCACTAGCCAGCCTCACCAGATAGTTTCTCTGAGAATCACTAACCTACAGATATCTATGTTAATTTTGACAGGTTCTATTTCAGCCCCACCCTATCAGGAAAAGGATAAAGAATCGTTAATCGTTAATCAATGACCGGACATATGAATTCTCAGGGAACAGGAAGAAGGGAGCTCATTTGGACTAAGACTAAGAACCTGCAGATTCCTGTCTAATCCCTCAGGAAGAGTCTACTCCTACCTTCAAGGAACTTCTCTCTTGTCCGATGTTAGCTTTCAACTTCTCAGCTTCTTGGTGTTCAGTCCTCAGCCTGTCCAGAGCTGCCTGGAGCTTCTCCTGTGAGGAGGAATCAAACCAGAGACAAGTTATGGGTTTTCTCAGCATCAGAATAGAGGACAATTGGGGAAAAATCAGGCTGAAATCTGAAAAGACTAGAGTTCACAGGAACTGTGAAACAGCAATTAGAATCTATGATTTGAAGGAACCTGATGTGGTGAATATTTTCTCTAAGACCTCGGTGATAGAAGTCTCCATTCCCATTATCAGGAGAAGACCGATTCTGTTTGTCTGAGAAGAAGAAAACTGATCCTGTAGTAAGGAAAGAATATAGCTCTTGATCCACCCAGATGCCCAGTTACTCCATCTGCCTATGAGGCAATGACAGCTGTGCTTGGGTACCAAACCTCCACCTATTAACACAAGCTATAAAAGTATCCACTGCTTGTTTGAGTCTGCTCATCATTTTGTAATTGTGTGCAATGCACTGTAATGTCCTTCAGGCCTTGGAAGGTGAGTATAGGGACAAAAGTGATCACAGCTCTCAGGGCTCGGTGGCAAGGTAATTAGAGTCAATGCAAAGTACAGAATTCCCGTCAAGTACTATTTTCCGCCCTTTCTTTCCTCCATCCTGGTCCGTTACCTGGTACTCCTGGGCAACCTCCTCCATGAGGAACGTGTGGTGACCTCGGTGTTCCTGAGACCTCTCACAAAGCCAGCAAATGAACTTCCCATCCTCCTTACAGAAGAGCAGGAGTTTCTCTCCATGGCGCACACACAGATCTGTCTTTTGTTCCTCCTCTGGGTTCAACTTGACCTCCCTGAACGTATCCATGATGTTGGCCACGTGCCGGTTAGGCCGCAGGTTCCCAGGCTGGTAACTGCTTCGGCACACAGGACAGCTACTCTGTCCTTCTTTGCTGACTGTGGACTCCTTGTGGCTTGCAATGATGCAGGCTTGGCAGAAGGTGTGCCCACAGTCCAGGCTCAGGGGTTCTGTCAGGAGCTCTAGGCAGATGGGGCAGGTCACCTCCTCCTTTATGTTCAACAGCATTCCTGAAGCCATCGCAGCTGCTCCCCTGTTCCTATCTGTCCTGATCTGAGTGAGGCTCTTCTAGCTCAGATTTCTGACAGATTGGAAAGGTTAAAGGGCACAGAGTAAGAAAGGTAAGAATAAATGATGCTAACTATGTAGAATTCAGACAGGGCAAAACCAATACTGAAGGACAAAAAAGAAAAGGTAGAGAGACAAGGACAGTAGCTTGATGACCTGGTAAAGAGGACAATTTATAACAATTTTACATACTCAGTTCCTCCAAAATGACAAATTTCATTTTTATCTGTGCAATGGTTGTTACTGTCTTTTATTTTTACAGAACAGAAGGCCTTTTGTACCAATATGTTGGGTGACCCTACTTTTTCTTTCCCATGGACGAAACATACCCTCTATGATAAAAGCACCAAACCACTTATGCATCTGGGCTTTTATACCTGTTCTTCTCTCAGCCTGCAACACTGACCCTGGTATAAGTAGAACTCATTCTCATCCCTCTGTTAATTCTCGCCTTACATATTCACTTATCAGGAAGACCTGCTCTGAATTGCTTATTTGCAGTATAGCCATTGCCATCATATGCTGAATACTTGAAATGACTTCTATTATTATCATGACCTAATATGTGACAATGTGTGTGCATGGCTATCGCAAAACCTTTATCAGGTGTATACACAGACGTAGTGAGTGACTTACAAAGATTATTTATCTTTAATATACACAGCTGCGATGAGGTTATGTATTCAGGATCCCCCTTCAGAGGTCTATTCCTACCTTAGTGAGTTAGTCAAAGATAAGACAGGTAACTTAGAAGGTTCTTGGAAGTCTTGTGTTGATAAATGGTAAAATTTCATGTTTGCCTGGAAATATACCAAGGACACTAATAGGAGCCCAAAGATGTGGATGGTGGGGAGGCAGATAGTATAAATACCCTCATAAGATCACACAAGTCACACACCTGCAGAGACTAGAACTTAGAAGAAATGAGTACCAGTCTGGGGAAAAAAGTCTCAAAATATTAGGTATGATTATTCAACCAATTTTTAATGACTGTAAACTACATGCTAACAAATAAATAATGCCCACAAACAAAAAGATGAGTATAAACAAAGATTTTAAACCACTATGACCCTGACATTCACCAGGAAAATAACAGTAAATTTAATAATTATATATATATATACACACACACACACACACACATACACACACTACTAGAGAGGTGTGCAGGTTGTTGGGAAATCAAATAATGGGGACAGACAATGGGTTGTCCATCAATTCCAACTTGAAATCATAAGGGTTGAACTGAAAGCTGAAGAAGATGAAGGAAATATGGCATACAAGTGAGGAATAAATGTAGTAGGTAAGGAAATCACCTGTTCATAAAAGACATACCATCTTGTCTGAGTTTAGAAATGACAGTGTAGCAGGTGTAGAGAAAACAGCTAGCTAGGCCTTTGGTATCACATGAACCTGCAGTGACCATGATATATGGCACTTCTCCATTTATGCAGCATTCAGGGGCTCTTTCTCAAGAGCAAAAGAAATTACCCATGTTTTCCCCTCAAAGAAGGTGGTATATAATGACCTTTGCCCTGGGGCGAAGGTATGTTAGGGGCATTCCCTGTGGAAATGGAAAGATGAGTCAGATGCAGGCAGGGCTGCCCAGGGGAGAGATGATGACAGACGGTGATAGAGACGGTAATAAAGCAAATGGAGCGCTGCGAAGAGAGTGAGATGTACATGAGGTAATAGGAAAGAAAACAGTTAGATTAGGTACCTGGGATCAGAGTCAGCATCCGTCTCATTCTTCCTGGAAAGGTAATATTGCCTTACTTTTCTAATAAGTTAGATATTTGGCTTTGAATTAGTTTTTTTGGGAAACTTATGAGGCTATTGTATAATAAAGTGGACGATCAGCTGCCTTGCAAGGCCATATGATTGACAGCAAAAATTGCTTGATGCGGAAAGTGCACTTGGGGGACTTTCTATAAAACCCAAATGCCAGTTAATAAACTTAGACTTCATTTATCATAAGGGGATTGTGACTTTTATAACCAGCACTGGCTCTTTTAGGCCCTTGGATGCTGTGCTTATAACTTTCACAAGGTAAATAGTGTACTGTAGCTCTGAGCTTACATAACCTAAGGTGGTTTCACACATATCCACTAAGTCTGGCTTCTTAAGAAGCTGAGAGAACAGGAATAAAGGACCTTCTATAGCTGTGAAGACCATCACTGAGCACTCACCTGAGGCAGCCCTTGTTGACATGTTCTGTTTGCTGTCCTGTATCCCTAGCTCAGCTAAGAGACCTAGAAGTTTATATCTCTTCAGGTCACATGAAGGAGAATGGCCATCAAATTTGGAAACAATGCTGTCAGTCATTGAGGGTATCAGAGTGGTAACACGAGTGGTAACACAGTGATGCTCATTCTCCCAAGGACTCAATATGGCCACAGTGTAGGCTCAGGGGTTCTCTCAGGAGCCCCAAGTGAAAGGGACTAGGAAGCAATAATACAAAAAAGAAAAAATCTCAGTAGATATTCATGTCTTAATCGTTCCCAAACTTTGATGGAAAAAGAAATATCTACACTATGAGATAAGTTTTCTTTTTGCTCTGTGCTAGGAAGGGAAATGTTATGCAGGCTGTAGGAGGATGAACTCAGATCTACCAACACTGTCACTGGTGCCATGTGCATCACACATGAAGGGAGCCTGACAAGGAACGAGGCTGGAGGAGAACCGGACGTGTATCCGAGCAGATGTCAGGATACTGAGAACAGCCCAGAGGCTGGACGCAGGTAGCCCCTGGCTGCAGAGAATGTTGTCCACATCAGGCTCTAATGAATGGCAAGATAGGAGGTAGGCATTGCATTGAGGGTAGATATTAAAGATGTCTCTACCCTTGTGTATGACTCAAGTATGATCCAAACATTGGGTATGGACTTCCAATTAATTGTCATCCTATTCAAAATCAAACCAATCGTGAGACAACACAAAAGCCTATGGAGGAGGGAGGACCAGAACACACATGCAGAATTTACTTTTATAGTGTGGTTACAAGGACCTAAGTTCAAATCACTTGTTGCTACAGGACACAGAGAAGCAAAGTGCAGAAGAGCTTGAGTCCTCACAGATGGAGATTCATCCCCACCTGAGCAGTGACTATAGGGCTCCAGAGCAGGCAGGGAGACAGGGAGATAAGAAACCCTGAGTGGTATCTGCCCTGCAAACTTATTGCAAATGCCTAGCCCATCCTTGAGGATCTGTGGGTTTGTGCCCCAGATCAGGCTGCCCAATCCGGGGACTTGTGCCCCAGAGCTGAGCCTACAAAGCAAATGCCTTCAAAAACGAACAACACTTACGCACAGGGGAAACCTAGGGGTGTAGGGCGCAGGGGCCCCTGCACAGTATTTAAAGGAGTTACAGAACTGGCCCCAGGACACGGGGCAGAAGCAGGGCTTTGAGGAGTACATAGACAATGAGGGGTTTCCATCTCCTGCAGGAGGAGTGGAGCCTGTTGGACTCTCACCCGAGGCTGAGATGTGGGCGTCGGGGGCGACAACAGCCTTGATCCAGGCACCACCTTGCAGCGCAGGGCCGCATCTCCCTGAAACCTGCAGGTGCCGCTGGTTAGGCCTGCCCCTTCCCCCCTGCTGCGGCCGCGCAGCCAGACCCGACTGCGGAGTGCGCGCGCCCCACTCCTCCCGTCTCCCAGGGCCATCACCTCCGCGCCACAATCGGGACTCTACTGAAGCTGCCCCGCCACTGCGGCCCCGTCTGAGCCTTTGGTCCCGGACATCCCCCACCGGGGACGCCCCTTGAGCGCCTGCCTGTTGTGGCGGGCCTGGGACGGGGTGCGGCTCTGCGCCCCAAGGTCTGAAACCCTGGACCCCAGAGTCCTTGGCAGGCTGCCGCCCTCCAGGCCCTGCACAGAGAGCAGAAGGAAACTCACCCCCAATCTTCCTGAGAAGAAGCCTATGCACTTGTCCTGGAGTTCCAGCCTGAGGCGCAGTCCTGGGCAGGATTCACTCCGCAAGCCAGAGGCCACGGGGATCGGGAAGAGCAGAGTGAAAATGAAAGTTAAATTCTTAGGGGAGCCGCAGGGAAGGAGAAAATCTGTGGACCAATGAGGGGCCTTCACATAGCTCCCTTGAAAAATACCCCGCCTTTGTGCCTGGGCCAGGGAAGCCAGCGACTGCATTCTTAATCCTTGCTCAGCTCTGCTCCGTGAGGCTGTTCTCACGGCTCCCAGAGTGATTCGCCCTTTGGAGAACTAGGCTTACCTAAGCTGTGTAATGCCACGCACACCAACCTCCTCTTGCTCCCTTAGAAACGAGGTGTCTGAGGAGGGAATAAAGTCTGTCTTTCACCACAGTGAGAACCCAGGCTGCAGGCTCACCCAAGGCTGCGATGCCGGCAGCTCTCCCCTGCCCTGTGTCTACCAGCTGAAGGAAGGGAACCTGCCAGTTTGTGTCCTGTCAGGTCACGGGAGGGGGAATGGCTGCTCAAATCTGAAGTGACCTCAGGCGGTCAGTCAGAGGGCCTCTCCCAGACTGGCAGCAGGTGATGCTGACTTTCAGAGCCTGGATTCAATATGGACAAAATGACACTTTGCCTAAGCGGACTGCAGAGCTCAAACCCATGAAGTGTGTTCTGTGGGCAATGTCATCTAATGCTATTTAACAAAAAATCTCTGTAGTCTTAGCAAAATAAAGAGCAAAAAGGAAAGTAATTGCGATGGATAAGTTTATGGGTCAACGCGACTGGATACACGGTGCCCAGAGTAAACATTTGTCAATATAAGAGATGTTGGAACCTGTGGAGAATTTTTGCTGAGTTTATTTGAGCCTAACTGACAACAGTTGCTGGGAAGCAAAAACTCAATGGGTTGAAGACGCCCCTGAGAATGGCGGTTTAGACCCTTATTTTTTACATTACAGTCAGAGGAGGAGACATAAGGGGGTTACCTGAAATCCATTGAACATCTGATGTATATTTTATGAGCTACAGAGGAGGTTATCAGTAATATTGTTTACTGACTGAAATCAGTCATGTTTTAGCACTCCTATTTTTGCTGATGTACATGTTATAGTTCAGTATAGGTAATTAAGCTACTGTACATAAGATTAGCTTCTGATTGTGTCCAAGCCATTATCTGTTTGCCTGGGATAGAGGTTCCCCATTCTGTTGCCGTATTCTTTTTCCTCTGCAGCTATCCATTGGAACTATGAAAGGGGTTTCTTCATTTGCTTGTTTGTTTTGAAGCAAGGAGCAGCCTCGAGTCTGGATTATTTTTCTGTTTAATGCTTCCTGTGTAGCTGTGAGGCAGCAGGTAGTCAGGAAGCAGGAAACTCCAGAGTTGCCCCAGGGCTAAGGTAAAGAACATGGATAAAGGGCGGAGGCCCTGTTCTAAGACTGGTAGATTCTACATCTGGAAAAGCATTAAATCCTAGTTAATCAGGAATGCACCTGTGCAGAAGATGCTACCTGACCCCTGCGTCATTATAATAGCATTATAATAAATTAGCATTGTGGGGGACCCACCCTAGAGGAATAAAAGTCCTCTAGCCCCTGAGTTCAGGGCTGCTGCTGCTGCTGCTGCTGTTAGGCTCTTCTCTGCTCTGCTCTGCTCAGAGTTGGCCTGCTTCCATATTCTGTGTGGCTTAATACATGTGCTTCTTCTCGCTTTCTGATATAAACTCTGTGTGTTTGGTTCAATTTTTTGTCCACAATCACCAAGAACCTGGTTACCTGTGCCCACCTGTGAGAGCTGCAGCATCAGCTAAATAATTTGCCTTTGCTTCCATGGTGGCAACTTTAGTACAGCCTAGCGTTTTGTTAATTGCCAATTGTTTCAATTTTTGTATGTCACATAATAATTACACAATCTATTTTCCGTTCTTTATGAGCTGCCTTGAGAATATTAAGAAGCTTCGCTGCTTCCACAACATTCCACAGTGTCATTGGCTATTTGATATTTGGCCAACTGAAAAATCTTAGTTTTTTTATTAAGCTTGTTGGGAAGGTCTTATTCAGATAATTAAGAAATTTGATGTATCCACCATGGAAGTTGTTCATATTCAGGTCAGAAACATTCCTGTTTGTTTTTCAAATATCCATGAGTAAACTAAACTAAATCAGCATTATCAAATAGTTTCCAGTAAACCCATTCCTAGGAACTAGAAAGTGGTCAGGTCAATTTGATTTTTTAAGACATGTAAAGGCTGGACCATTAATAAAAATTTGGAATCCAACTTTTATAATATTCAGTCAGATCCAGTAAACTTCTCAGCTGATTTCTGATTTTTGGAAGAGGGAAAAATAGGAATCCTCTTTTCTTTCAGAGTTGATTAGTAGCCCATCCTTACATAGCAGATAACCAAAGTATTTTACCTGGGGTAAAAAGAATAAGAGCTTGTCCTTAGATATTCTATTGTGTTCTTGTGCAAATCTAGTAGTTTCTTAGAGTATAAACTAAATTATCCACATATTGGATTAGAGTGGAATCTCTAGGGAATTTAACATCATCTAAATGAACTTTTAATATCTAAGACAATACGTGGGACTCTCCCATGTATACCAGGGGCATTACTGTCCAAGTAAAATTGTAACCTTCCCAGGTGAAAGCCCAGACGTATGCAGTTAGAATATAGTTATTCTTATTATTATGGCAAAGCTTCCCATGGAACCTCAAGTGTCTCAAAAAAGCCTAACTAGTTTAAAAACTCTTCCTCTATGAGAGAGAGTAAATCCTTGAGGTATTCTAGGGTCCATTGGAAGAACTCAAAGTCATTTCTAGGTTAAAAGTCTCTTAAAACTTAAGCTTTGGGAAGGTTTGTTAAACAGACTGAATGAAAAGACGATAACATAAGCCTTTTTGTAAATCTGGGTTAAAAAAACCACATTTTATTGCAATAATTTTAAAACACATCAACCAAACTTAAACCAGTTTTAATATTAATTCTTTGTCTAGACCACAGGATCTTGCTTAATTTCCATAAGTGTTTAATTTCCTTAAGCCAATAAAATATTACATCCAAGTAATGCCTTCTGGAGGCAGAAGAAAACACACTAAACATAATATACAGATGAACATGTATCACATCAAAACCATACACATGATCTGAATTGCTAATTTTTGTAGAGAAGACAAGGGGAACTTTATCGATTTACTATTATAAACTTAACACTTTCACAAGTTTTTACAAAATTTTCACAACTTTCATATTTTCCAAACCTTCTTATCCATTCAGAAATAACCAACTTCGAACTCACTTTCTTTCTTTTCCGTCAAAAGTATTCCCATCTCATGCCTTCTGTTACCAAAACTGTGTAACTTCTCTCCAACTCAATTTAAATTTTTAACTTTTAGAAACTTCAATTCCCAATGATAATCAAAAATAAGAATCCAGTGTTTCCTAGATAGGCTTTTATGAACACATTTCATAACCTGTAGAAATGTAGGTTTCTCTATTGGCAAATATA